CCTTCTTTCAGATGTTTTTAAGGGGCTCCAGCGCATGCCCGCCCCCACCGCCCCCACCACACCGCCCACCGCCCCCCCTTCCCGCCACGTTTGAGGGCCTTCCCCCGTTTCACGGCCACTGGCTCCTTCTTTTCAGGGGCAGCGCACGCCCGCCCCCACCGCCCCCACCCCCACCGCCCACACCGCCCACCGCCTCCCCTTCCCCGCCACGTTTGAGAGCTACGTTTCAGGGGCCCCAGCGAGCCCATTCCGCCCCCACCTCCCCCTGCCACGTTTCGGGGCCACTGGCTACCTTCTTTCAGATGTTTTTAAGGGGCTCCAGCCCGCCCCCACCTCTTCCTGCCACATTTCGGGGCCACTGGCTACCTTCTTTCAGATGTTCCAGCGCACCGCCCACCGCCCTCCCCCCCGCCACGTTTGAGGGCCTTCCCCTGCCACGTTGCAGGGCCCCAGCGAGCCCATTCCCCAGCCCCCACCTCCCCCTGCCACGGTTCGGGGCCACTGGCTACCTTCTTTCAGATGTTTTTAAGGGGCTCCAGCGCATGCCCGCCCCCACCGCCCCCACCGCCCCCACCGCCACGTTTGAGGGCCATCCTCTGCCACGTTTCAGGGCCCCAGTGCCCATTCCATTCCGCCCCCACCTCCCCCCTGCCACTGGCTACCTTCTTTCAGATGTTTTTAAGGGGCTCCAGCGCATGCCCGCCCCCACCGCCCCCACCGCCCCCACCGCCCACACCGCCCACCGACCACCCTTCCCCGTTTGAGGGCCTTCCCCTGCCACGTTTCAGGGCCCCAGCGAGCCCATTCCGCCCCCCACCTCCCCCTGCCACGTTTCACGGTCACTGGCTACCTTCTTTCAGATGTTTTGAAGGGGCTCCAGCGCATGCCCGCTCCACCGCCCCCCTTCCCCGCCACGTTTGAGGGCCTTCCCCTGCCACGTTTCAGGGCCCCAGCGAGCCCATTTGCCCGCCCCCACCGCCCCCACCGCCCCCACCGCCCCCACCGCCCACACCGCCCACCGCCCCCCCCCCGCCACGTTTGAGGGCCTTCTGCCACGTTTCAGGGCCCCAGCAAGTCCATTCCGCCCCCACCTCCCCCTGCCACGTTTCGGGGCCACTGGCTACCTTCTTTCAGATGTTTTTAAGGGGCTCCAGCGCATGCCCGCCCCCACCGCCCCCACCGCCCACACCGCCCACCGCCCCCCCTTCCCCGCCACGTTTGAGGGCCTTCCCCTGCCACGTTTCAGGGCCCCAGCGAGCCCATTCCGCCCCCACCTCCCCCTGCCACGTTTCACGGCCGTACGCCGAGCGCGCGGAGTCTCCGAGCTCGACTCCCCCTTAGAAGGATGGGCGGGCTTGTCGGTATGTTGCTAGGGTTTGCAAACTGAGTTGACGGAGTTTGTAGTGTGTCTAGAACAGCAGAAGCGCAGGGGAGCACACTTCTGGGACATTTCCGGTCTGAGAGACTCCACAACTGTACTCTGCCCCGTTTTGGCGGGGCGGGGGAGGGGGGGAAGTGCGATTTTTCAAGCCTGAACTGCACTGAACCTGTTCTCGCCTGGCTCTCGGGAGAACGAGGGAGGGCACAAGCGCGGGCGAATACAATTCTGCGACTTTTCGGGCCTGACAAGCTGTTAAGCTGTGCTCCCCCGCGTGTTGGGAGGGGAGGGCACGGCACAAGTGCGGGGGAAAGTTTAGGGTTTTAGGGTTTCGGGTTTGGAGTTTAGGGTACAGAGTCTAGGGTTTATGGTTTAGGGTTCAGAGTTTAGAACTTAGAGTTTAGGGTCTAGGGTTCAGGGTTTAGGCTTTAGGCTTTAGGGTTTAAGGTTTAGGGTTTAAGGTTTAGGGTTTAGAGTGGGGTTTAGGGTTTAGGCTTTAGGGTTTAGAGAGGGTTTGAAGCTCCCTGCCTAGCTCCCTGCCTCCAGGCTGCGTGCGTGTCGTGGCATGCCAAACAATAAGCAAAGACAAACTTTGCCGGCCTGGGGGCCAGACAGAGGTCCGGAGACCCCGCCGACCACAAGTCCCGCAAAGCACATGCAAAGTCTGCCAGCCTCGGGGCCAGGCAGAAGTCCGAAGACTTCGCCGACCCCAAGTCCGGCAAAACACAAAGGCTTGCCAGCCTCGGGGCCAGGCAGAAGTACGAAGACTTCGCCGACCCCAAGTCCGGCAAAACCCAATGACCTGCCAGCCTCAGGGCCAGGCAGAAGTCCGAGGACTTCGCCGACCCCAAGTCCTGCAAAACTCTCACAGGGCTTGCCAGCCTCGGGGCCAGGCAGAAGTCCGAGGACTTCGCCGACCCCAAGTCCGGCAAACACAGACGTCATGCGAAACAAAAGCATCACCCAGGGCAACTGGGTTCCGGGCCAGGCCGAAGCTGACCCGGACTCCCCACTGCCAGCCCCCACAGCGAGTCACCCTCGGACCGGCGCGCGATGGCTGCCCCTGGCCTTAAACCCCAATCCCCACAACCTGGGTTGTGATCAGGGTTTGGAGTTTGGGTGCTAGGGTTTAAACGTTGGGGCATCTTGGGTGTTCGATACACCCATCAACAGCTCAACCCTAAACCCCTGACCCCCCGGAGCCTTAATTAACCCCTCCGTACCCCAAACCTCCAACCCCGGGCCGGCCTCGAGCAGCTGCTCCGGCACCGCGGCTTGACCAAAGGGCTGACGTAAACTTGTCGGCAGGTGCTGCCGACAAGGACTCTTACATCCAAATCTGGGCGACTGAACAATTACTCACAATAGCTGGTCGTAGCTGCACCTATCCTCGAACTGCAGGCTGTTGCACAAGATTGTTGCCAGTCTGCAAAGAGACCAGGCCGGCAAATGCTGCGCAGAATGATGATCCCAATGGCAGAATCTGGGAAACCTGCGGCGGACGGCATTTGCCATGTCGTGTTTACCCAAGGTGCATTGCGTGGCCTCGTCCTCAATGCTGGCCTTTCTAGACATAAGCCTTTCCATACAAGAATAAATGCACGATCGCTATCGACCTGTGCAAGAAAGCCCGAGCCAAGGCCCACGGGCATCCGAATAAGTGGCAACCTTTGCCTTCTTATCAAGAAGGGTTACACAATGCTGTGCATGCACGATCGAGTCGACCGGTGCTAGAAGCCCGAGCTGGAGCCCAGGGCTTGCCTAGTGTAGTCGCAGATTTGCGATATGGGGTCCTGATTTCAGCTCCACATGCGCAGTGACCTGTGGGACGCGATGAGGCGACCTGGCGACATCCTGCACGTCCTTCTTTCCAGGGGTCGGCGGCACTGGCGGCAGCCATTAAATAATATTAATAGTGTTCCCGCGCTCCGTGAATAGAATGAAGCGAACGTAGTGAGCGCGGTTATAATTTATATCGCAAGTTCACGTGCGCCGTAATGATTTTAGGATTGGCTTTATAAAGAGTGAAAAAGGGGGTTTCGTCAGTTTCGTTCAATCGCAAACTAATTTCGTGCTTTCATTACGTTCGTTTCACTCTCTTCATTTCATTGCAAATTAGTCCTCACTTTCTCTTCACAGTACTTTTATAGGAGCGAAGCATTCCCCCTTTAATATTCTTGTTGCACTCGCACCGTATAAACCCTAAACCTTACGTCCTAAGCCACCATGTGAAACGCTGTGCCGGAAATGAACACGCTCCACACTTTAAGGCCCTCTAATATGAATAGATACCGGACCATGTAAGCACCTGGCAAAGTGCAACTTGGTCCTGACAGGTGCGAAAAAAGCCTTACATCTCCAAGCAATGGAGTCATTTTAGCGTGGCGGGCGCTGGGTCCATGGAAACGGTCGTGGTCTGAAAGCAAGACAGTCACTGGGGACGTTGGGGTGGGTCGATTTGCTAGAACCCCCTCTTAGACGGTGAATTGCAGCGTAGGTGTGAAGTCGTCGTACGCATGTACCCGGGGATGAGGTGGCAACACAAATGGGCTTCAGACGATGCAAAAAAAAGGTGTCTGTAAATGTCTATATATATATGTGTGTATGCAATAGGTGGCAGTAGTCTGGGTTTTCACCAAGCGCTATTCACGATGATTCTGGATTCTGAGCGGGCCTTTTCGTACGAATACTCATGCGAATTACATGGACCCCGACCAGCCCATTGCGAATGCACAACAGCAAAACTTGCGGGCACTTGAAATTGAAGCGTTTCTGGCATTGGTCGCCTGCAACGCGGACCGAATTGCAGAGTTTGCAGCGCGCCCACGGCAACAACGTCCGTACGACGACGTCCGCAACCACACCAACATTGCTACGCACAGTACGCGGTAGCACCGGCGAAGAGACCCACCCTAACGTCCGCACGAAACTATAATACTTGTGGGTCAGCCGGCAGCTTCCTTTGTACGTGCGACGTAGGGCCTTGCCACGACACATACGTTCGCCCTGGACTCCCCCGAGGGGTCGCTTCTCTACGAAGTGTCGGCCTAGGAATACCAAGTCATGCCTGGCCTCAATCGTAAGTTTTTCAAAGGGACGGGAGATCGCAACACAGATGGCAACATTCAAAACTCTGCCTCAGTCCAGAATCGCTGTGGAGGGTTGACAACGAAGAAACATCCGATACGATTGGCCATCAAACGGCCACGAAATGATTCCCAACTTCGCTCCCCCCCCCCCCCCCCCCCTGTAGATGTTATTACATTTGGAACGGCTCCAGGAACATAATTCTGAGGGGTACGGCACCTAACAACTCCGATGGGAAACCTTTCAATTTAAAGGGTTCATGGGTGGTAACTGATGTTTTGACACGTAAATTTCGGGGGATGGCTCGAACCATGTTCTGGTCGTCAATGGCTGCTAGTCAAGACATGTGTAGTGGTTAGCGAGTGAAGGGCACATTCTCCTTGTTGGCATATTGCCCAAATCAAGAACAGCGACGGGGGCTTTAGCATGCTTTATCGTCATATACTTGTACCACGCAACATCATCTAGCACATTTTTTGTACTTGCTTGAAATCATGAGCTTCACCAAAAGTTCTGCTTGCTTTCTTCCAGGCGCCGATGTTGGCGCCGAAGTTCTGGAAGCCAGCGAGAATGGCAAAGACTGTCGCCTTGCAGGGACCCCCCAAAGTGGCAAGCATCAGGCAGGCGCAACCTACAATTCTACACCGAAAAATAGGGGTACCCTTTTGGGGGTTTCTTTAAGAGGATTCTCTTCTATTTGGGGCTTAGAAGGGGGTACCCCTATTTTGGGAAATACCCACATGGGCTTTGGAGAAGAAAGGACCCAAGCTGTTCGCACCGGGAGCGAGGTTCTTTTCTGGAGAGCCTCAAGCCAGCCCGAACCCTCCCCAATTCCTGAGCAGCCGTCAGCGCAGATTATGACAGCGACAGCAACAAAACGCAACCACAGCGACGACAACAGCATCGACATCCACAACCACAAGCACATAGACCATCACCACCACAATGGCCGCCACTGCCACCGCCACCACAACCACAGCAGCAGCAGCAGCAGCAGCAGCAGCAGCAGCAGCAGCAGCAGCAGCAGCAACAACCCACAAGCGACCAGCGACAAGCGACAAGCAAATGCAACCAACAACAACCATACCACGACGACAACAACGAAAAGAAAGACAGCAGCGGCACCAAAGGCAACGACAACGACGACGGCCACAACGGCCCCAAAACGACCACAACGACCACAATGACCACAACGACTAACGAAGGCAAACAGACAAGCAAGCAAGCAAGCAAGCAAACGAAAAAACAAAAAACAAACAAGCAAATCCACAACCAGCAGACAACGAGACACAAGCAACAAACATTAAACAGCAAACAACAAGCGACAAAAAAAAATATTTAAAAAAAAAAAAAAAAAAAAAAAAAAAAAAAAAAAAAAAAAAAAAAAAAAAAAAAAAAAAAAAAAAAAAAAAAAAAAAAAAAAAAAAAAAAAAAAAAAAAAAAAAAAAAACGATCAACAAAGCCAACGGCTAACAACCAACAGCCACAACAGCAACAACTACACTAGCAACAGAGCAGCAGCTGCCGCAGCTGCAGCCGACAACACCCAAGGCGCTAAACCCGACAGACCAGATCGGCCTCCGCCCCTCGCGGGCAAAGCCGAGCAGTAAGCAGCGCCTGCGGCATCAGAGCCATCCTTACCCGGAACACTTTGCAGGTTGTGGCCGCTTAGCGTTTCAGACTTCCGGCAAGACCTTGCCGAAAAGCACACATCGAAAATGGACCTTGGACTCCCGAAGCTTCTGAGAAACTCTTGCTGACGCCTCAATCGCAAACCGTGAAATCCGCAACTGACAAATCACCACCTGACAGCCCCAAAATAAAAAGACCGACTCTCTTGTCAGGGTGTCTGCTGCGCCAAGCTTTGGCATGCCTCGGCGGACCAGCATGGGCTGTCGTTAACAAAGTCAAATCGGGTTTAGGGTTTAGGGTTTAGGGTTTTGGGTTTTGGGTTTAGGGTTTAGGATCCACAAGTGGGGGTTTCCGAAACTCGGGGTACCTTCTCGGGATCCTTATTATGAGCGAACCCTACTATTTGGGGGGTCTAGATTAAGGGTACCTCATTTGGGGGTTTACGAAACTAAGGGACCTCGAATATAGTCCCCCAAGTACTAGGATTCCATAAGGACCCCAATAAGGAACCCTGACTGTCGTCAACACTCATTTTCGTAAACCCGCAAGCTAGCCGGTCCACGGACCTCCAGCATAGAGCCAGCCCGATTCAACCAGACCCCTCAGAAGATGCCAGGGCACCGCATCCCCAAACAGGTAGGCGGCGCGATCCGAGACCCCAAGCTCCAGGTTATACCGGGAGATGATCAGGAGGTCGAACCTTCATTAATAAATAAAAAAAATATTAAAAAAAAATCAAAAGAAAAAAAGGGGAATGCGCCAACGAGAGCATTGGCTTCAAAGATCTTCGAGACGAAACCAAAAATCCGAACTAAGCCTCTGTCACTCGGGCCTGAAGCTACCAACACGAAATCAAGCGGAGAACAAGCGCTAAGCGGAATACTGGATGAAGTCAGCGGGGGGACAACGAAGCCACCACTTGGATGGTCGTAGTGACCCAGAAAGCCTGGCGGAAGGTCCAGTCCTGTTGGGCGAGACGTGTGAGGTGTAGGAGCGGCTCTGAGGCTGGAGATTTCTGGGTTTAGGGTTTAGGGTTTAGGATTTTGGGTTTTGGGTTTAGGGTTTCGGGTTTCGGGTTTAGGGTTTAGGGTTTAGGACGAACCCTGAAACCCGCACTTCAACAACCTGTAAGACCTCAATCCCACCTGCATGTACTGGAAGAGGACAGCGCCAAGGATGGAGCCTCCGCATGGGGATTTAGATGGATGAGAGGCTCAGTACTCGAGGGTTTTGTCGATTATGGCTTAATGTCGGCAGAAGAAGCGGGGCCAGCATCTCCTTTCAATTTCGAGTGTTGAGTCGCAGCCCAAGCCGATGCAAACAGCATGACGCCCCCTCCATCTGGAATGTAAAATGATCAAGAAAGTGGGTTGAAAATGGAAACCGATAGCGCAGAAAGGCAAAATCAATAAGCCAAGAGCACCAGTGCAAGGCAACACACAATAAAGTTAGAAAAGGAGGGACCGAAGGTAACAAAACCAAACGCGACGAAATCAAAACATAAAACGTGAAACATGAAACATGAAACATGAAACATGAAAGCAAAGAGTTCGAACCGGAAGTGGAAAACCAACAGGGGAACCAGCGCGAAGCATCAGCAAATGTGTAACAGAACCAGAGGAAACCAGCAGACCATGTCAGGAAACCAGCAGGCCAGGGCAGGGGGACCAGAAGAACAGGGGACCCACGGAGCTCTTCGAGCCGCAGTCGCTACAACAAGCATGATACAAGCGATACCTGCGAGGTCATAGAAACACCGCAACCAAACCGTCTTAGCTGGACTACAGTCTGACAGTGGACCCATCGAAGCCGCTACAGATATGTCGATGCTTGGGTGCCTTACCTACTATTTTCAACTAGTGGCACCTAGTAGATTTAGGGTTTAGGGTTTAGGGTTTAGGGTTTAGGGTTTAGGTTTTAGGGTTTAGGGTTTAGAGTTTAGGGTTTAGGGTTTAGGGTCTTTGGCGAAACAGGCTGGAGAAGAAAAAGCACACGTTTGGCACCGAACGTCGGAACATGATCGAAGGTACTTTCCACAACACACCGAAACTTCTGAGGCTCAAACTTCAACCCGTGTGAAAAGCACTGGAACATTGGACAACCATTGACTGATAGCTGCAACTTCCAGATATTCCCAGGCACCGACGGAACCCACCACGTTTGAGACGGCCAGGTAGTAGGCGTAGCTGAAGTGCGGTCCGTTCTTCACGCAATTCTCCGTACCTTCTCACAGGGCAGGCTGCCCCTTAAAAATTCAAGAGTGGCTCATGCTACACTCTGAGGCCCCCTAACAAGCACTGCTGCCCCAAAACAGTGCAAGCTCTAAACACTGCTACCAAAAGACAGCGAGCAAGCCCCCCTAGACCCTGCAAGCCCTAAACGCTGCCCTTCCTTCCTCTTTTCCTCCTCTTCTTCCGGCCTTTCTTGCCATCCTTCCACCCTCCCACCACTCCTTTGTACACCAAACGAAAACGGGAGATGCCCTACAAAAAAAAGGCATCTGCGCAGCATTCGGTTTTTTTCAAGTGCGTAGAGAGGAAACGCAGGAGATCCGACGAACACCCAAGCAACCAAATGAAAACAATACCAGAAGCACGACAAAACGAACAACTCAAAAGAGCCCCTGCAAGAGAAACTGCACAAGCAAATGGCCAGTCTGCCTGTGTACCAGTAGGCCAAAGGTCCCGACAGGTCGAGGTAGGCAATGGACGTGATGAACATGTAAAGGTTGCCTCAGCTCAGAAACTTCGAGAAGGCCGCCGGGTCCCAGGCCCCATTCGAAAGCGCGTGCCGGGGCATTCCCTTCAAGTCCTGCCTCCCCGTGCCTTTTACACGGGTTTTACGTGCACCCCCACGCCGAAGACATCCACATCATTCCAGAGGGCATAAACAAAAAAATGACCCACCCGGATTTGGTAGCGCATGATGTTTAGGGCGTAGGTGCTTCCGGCATAGGGGGGTTTACGAAAATAAGGGACCCCCAAGTTAGATCCCCAAACAGTAGGATCCCATTCATCTAAGGACCCCAATAAGGTACCCCGAATTTCGGAAACCCCCATATGGTTCAGAGCTCAAGGTTCGAGGTTGGGCAAATTCGCAGTCCAGGGATGGGTGTAGGTTTCTGGCGGCAGCCGTTGCGAAAGCTACCGATTATCCCGTGGGAACTGCGTCACGACATACAACCTGCGACGATCCGAATGACGCTTTCCAGATGTACTGGCGGGGTTTCAGCATTCCATGATGCAAAGCTCAAGGGCGAAATTCGAGCAAGTGCCACTCGTGCTCGCATTCTTTCTTAATAAGTTCGTCTCTGGGGATGCCGTATAGTAGTGCCTTGAACAGCGCGCAATCCTGCAAAGTGGTTGTGTTCATCCATGTGTACGCCAGCATGCTTCCTCGTTTCTTCCTGCGGCTCACTGTAAATAACATAAGCGAGTTCAGCTCCCAAGGTCATCGTCGATCCAGGACACTGCGCGCCAGCACCCTCGGTAGAGTTCTGAAGGAGTAGAGCACCATCCTCGGACCCACCGCAGTCCCGCAAAAAGAAGCGTGATACCAGACTTGAAAGCAAAACACTTGCACTCAAGAGGTCGAGATATCCAAGTCCAGGAGCAAAAAGCGGTGAGGATGAGATGATGAGACCATGCGCTTTTCGGGCGGTGTTAGTGATTGAAGGCGGGAGGGATTGTGGGCTTCGGTCCTGCTGCAGCTGGAAGTCTACGCCTACGTCCTACGTCACCGGGACGCATGCCATACGCTGTGGATTGGTTTGGGTTTTTGGGGGGTTCGTGTCTGGTTTCGGCTTTGCTGCTTCATAAGGGCCCGTTTTTTGTTGTGAAAAACGCGGTCCTGTTTCAGCCTCCCAGGACCCCCCGGCCACTTCGGCAACTTCAGGGCTGATTCTGGCTCTGCGGAAAATTTGTTCAAAGTGGTACTCACAGGTGCCCTCACTGCTCAACGGAGCTCAGCTCTTTCAGACTTTGCCTTTGCTACTGGACATCTGCTCGTCCCCAAACAGTGCTTGCACCATGACATTCCCACGTCAACAAAGGTCGACTCGACCTGGTTGTACGAGCATGCATGCGCATGCACGCGCATGCGACATCGACGGCCGCGAGGGGTATTTTCGGCAGGCCCAACGCTCTCACCGGCCCGCTCTCGCACGGCTATCGCTTCGCGTCAGGCGCTCGCCCAGGTGAGCCGCTGCCGCGAAACGTGGCTGGGGCGTACTTTCCTGCCTCTCGGGCTCTTGACTCGGATGGGTTCGACTACTCCATGATGCGGATTGCGCGGTGTTGCAAAGTCTTGTGAGCTTTGCCTCAGGAAGCCCTGCTCACGAAGACTTGAAAGCCCCACATAGGTTGGGAGGGTCTGCGGGCTTAGAGTTAAAGGGGGGGGACGGACTCTTCAGCCAAGATTCATCATGGACACGAAGAGCGCGGTGAAGACCCTGCCCTGGGCACAGGAACTCGCGGAGCTCAGGTTTCTGGGAGTTTTCTAGCAGAGGTGAGGCTCAGCGTGGCAAGCATCTCCCAGCCGGGGTCCCGAATGAAGGGACCATGAGGGTTTAGGGTTTAGGGTTTAGGGTTTAGGTTTTAGGGTTTAGGGTTGAGGGTTTAGGGTGAGCCCCAACCCCATAGCGTGGAGGGTGAAAAGTGACGTCAATCACTGCTGACTTGTGCACTTGTGTTGCCTGGACCCCCTCCCCCCCCCCCCTCTCCCTCACAAAAGAACTCGAAGCTGAAACAACACTCATAAAAGCAGTGATGACTCTGTTCAATTGTGCTAACACTGCTTTACCATTCAGCCAGACCTAGTTTGGCGGGGGGAACGGGGGAAGTGTTCGTATTAGGGGAAGGCATCCCAAGGTCGTGCTTACAGGGCTTCTCTGAACACGTACTCAGGAACCAAATCCCAAAGCCCTCAACATGACGGCTCGGATAAAGTCAATCTCTAGTGGCCAGTCCACACAAAGCAAGTTCCACCGACTCCTCCAAACCGCCCACCCCTGTGTCCCGTCCCCCTCCCGCCCTCTCTCCGAGCATTGCTGTCGCCACGGCCACCATCCTAGGGAGTTGGGATTCGAGCAGGCGTGGAGGGGGGGGATGACTCACGAAATGATTGCGGGCTATTCACAGCTGCGCCCATGTACTGCCCTCTGCCTTGACACGTGCCGGACACCCAGAAACCCTGCATCAGAGCCACTGACTCATCCTGACAGCTCCCTCTTTCAACCCAGAAAGCGACTGACTCAAACCTCGACTCAACACCTCATTTCGAGTCCCAACACGTCAAACATCCTAGTAGCTACAAAGTAGCTACTAAGCCTGCTTCTTTGTTTTGCAGAGCGTCAGGGAGCCAAGAGCCATGGCCGAAGCAAGCAAGAAAAGGTCTGGCTCAGACATCGCCTGGCGGCATTGTTGGGGTGTTGCAGCTTCATCTTGCTCTACGCCGTGCCACGTGCAGTTCACTCCAGTGATTGAGTGAGGGGTCCGCTATACAGTCAAGTTTTCCGTGCCGCACAGTGTTTGTTCGGTTCGTTTCAAGTTATTAACTATTAACTCCTTTACTTTCAAGGAACGAAACTCCAACATCAGACGCGAAACAGGCGACAATAGCTCGCAGAGCATGTACACGGAATGGTCGAAAGTGAAGAGCTGATGGCAAGCAGGCGTGAGTGCTCCCACTAGGCCAGGCTACAAAGAAAGTCTTGAGTCGTGGGCATGGAAGCAATGCGCACCAAGAAAACGTGAATCCTGAACCCTTCAAATCTAAACCAGATGAATCCTTGACCCTTGTATCCCTCCCTCTTCGCTCTCCAAGTGGCCTTGGCCCAAAGCGATCGCCAGCTTCGTGCCTGAGACGATACGGCGCTGGCCCGCTTGGGATCCTTTGGGTTCCTCCGAGTTTTGATGTCGGGGTCAAGGCGGTCCGAAGGGTGTTCGTAAGATTTCAAGATGCCCAACCGGGTGTTGGAGACAGGGGTTCTGGGTCAGGGATGGTAGGGCGGAAGGGTTATCCAAAAAAGGCCTGTCCCCCAACAGCCTTGATAGACCACCTCTACTCCATCACCACCCAGGTCCTCCCTCCTTCACTTCTAAAACCCCATCTTTTAAACACCAAGGGCAACCTAAGTAACCTAAGCTTGAACTCTTTTAACACCAAGAGAAACCCAAGCAACCAAGCTTGAATAAAACCTCGACAGCACATCTTTGAGCCGATGGCATCCGCTTAAGCATTAGGCCATTGACATGGTTTAGGGTTCGGGGCCCTCTGAATAAGGTTTCTGTTTAAGAGAGCCAGAAAGGGGTTAAGAAGGGTTCCCTTAAACCCTAAACCCTAAACCCTAAACCCTAAACCCTAAACCCTAAACCCTAAACCCTTATCCTACCTAGGAATTGAAGAGCCCGCAATGGTCCGACATCCCCCAAGGCCATTCGACCGACTAGCCGCCGGCTGCTCGGGAAGATCTCCTTCATGCTGTGGACTTCTTTAGGGTTTAGGATTTAGGGTTTATTGTTTAGGGTTTAGGGTTTAGGCTTATCTTCCAACTTTGGGGCTTGGAGGCTTTGGCGTTATTGTGCAAGGCTTTCTGATGGTCGTGAGCTTGGAGTTGAGCAAGGCGGGTAACGTGTTGCAAGTCCACTTACATTGGCATTCTTTACGATATGCCATCATATGGAACATGAGTATAGAAGGCCTACAGCTGCATCTACGCCGCGAACCGTCTGTTTCGACTGTGTCTATACAAACCTAGCAACGAAGCTGCTAAAGTCAGGCTGTGGCCAGGAGTTCGTGCATGAGCCTTGTTGACCCTCCATGTTGGATTTAGGCTTCGGGGCGTCGACCTGTGTCCGTAGGCTTAGGATTTCTGAATCCATCCCCTTTAAGAGCCCCCCCCCCCCATGTTTGTTTGCTCTCTTGCACCATGCAACAACTGAAAACTTTGACCTGCGCAATGCGAGAAGTCCCGAAGCCCCCCATGTTTCGGAGAAACTTTACGATGAGCTAAGTGCAGCAAAGGTGGCCTTCCCAAGTGCGCCAGAAAGCGAGGATTGCAAAGGGAAGGCAGGCGGAGATGAGGGGCCTCACAGCAGAGGAACTTCGGAACATCATGGCACTACACGGCCCCCAGGGTTCGAGAACCTCTCTGGGGCACACTGCATAACTTCATACCGGGCTGGAAAGCTGGAAGCCTGGGGCCTGGCTCTTGAGGCTTTCAGATGTGAGGGGCGGAAGCTCGGGGTCTCGGAAATGCCCCCCAACAATTCAAGTTGTGGTTCAAGGTTCAAAGGTAACGGGTTCGGAATTTGCAGGCATTCAAGGCTGCTGCACAACACTACACCCAACAAAGGGGGAATACTTTGCAATTCTGCCGCATAAAAACATAACCCAAGCGTGTCAACTGCGCCTTGGACCCTCTGTGTCCACCACGCGTGCCACGCAAAGCGCCGCAATGAGGGAGCCCAGCTGCATGCAAGACCAGACGAGTGAAAGGACCTCAGCAACAAAGACGCTGAGTAGAAGAGACCCGGCGAACCCAAACCAAACACCGTACGCCCAACTTCCTCAACTTGCCATTGCTCTAACCTGCAACCTCCACGACCCACAGCTTTCACGAACGCCGAAGGTTCAAAGAAGATGCCAAGGCTTCTACTGCTTGTGTGGATTTCAGTTTGGGCTCGGTGGAGGAGTGTGGGTGTCGGTGTTTGGGTTCCCTCCACGAAGAATTTCCGAAGCGCATACGAATTTGCTCCGATTGGGCATCTGCTTGTACATGGCCGCAACCCTGAGACCTAGTGTGAGAAGACCCTCCGCCCGAAAGATGCAAGCCAGAGCGTGACGCAACGTTCCTTTTCTCTGGCGCTCTGGCCTACTGCTTGTGCCACTCGAGAAGCAGCAGTGAGAATGAGCATTGAACACCATGCCAACTATCGGCTGCAATTCCAGAAGCACTCGGAAAAAGGCAGGAAGGCGCTAGCATAGGCGGGGGGGGAGAATGTGATAACCCACGACACGGCATACACAAACAATTTCCGAGACAGTCCCGGCGAAAGGTGGCGAAGGGTGAGGTTCGGACTTTGTCGTGAATGGTGCCCGACCGCCACAAGTCGTCCCCAACTCACCCGAAAAAGCCCTCCAAAACCTTAAATCTTAAAGCCATGAACCTTAGAACCTTCCGCCAATTTTCAGAAGATGTTCTCCCCAGCTCCGCTGTTTCCCCTGCCCCTCTGCGCGGAAGCAAGGTCGACTGGGGCGCCTGCCTCGCTTCCAGCCTGGCCCCCAGTTAGGGTTTAGGGTTTAGGGTTTAGGGTTTAGGGTTTAGGGTTTAGGGTTTCGGGTTTCGGGTTTAGGGTTTAAGGGTTTAAGGGTTTAAAGGTTTAAGGGTTTAGGGTTTAGGGTTTAGGGTTTAGGGTTTAGGGTTTAGGGTTTAGGGTTTAGGGTTTAGGGTTTAGGGTTCGAAGGTTCTCGTTCCGGGCATTGAGGCTGCCATGTTGCTGGGGTTTTTGGAGGTGCCGTGCTCCTTTTTGAGGGGGTGTTGGCCTCAAGTTCAGGGGCACAAGCCCAGTGAATGGTGAATACAGCCTTGGGCGGAGCTTTGACGAGTTCTTGCAATCTCTTGCACCTAGACAGGACAACCTCTGTGTTGTCTTCGGCGCCCAAAGACTGAGCTTCCTGCCTCTCACAAGCCCATAACTTTTGGAGCCAGCATCTCGACAGCTTATGTTGCGATCTCTCATAACGTCCCAGCAGACTTGCGTCCGAGACTCTGAATCTCCCAGAAGCTAAACTGTGAGACGCAAAAGAGCTTACACGCTCCGCTTTGCTCCGCTCAAATGTGGCAGCACTTTCAAATCAGATAAAGAAGCACTTATCCCAATGTTTGTAGAATGCGCGCGGTGTTCTTTCCGAACTTTCAAGCCCACACGATTTTCACAAAAGGTTTTGATTCTGTGCCCACAAAAATCCTTCAGGTCGATCAGCAACTGTCGAACTTTTCTTGTCAGATGTCCGGGAATATGCACGTAACAGTATATCACTCTACACTCTACTCTTTTTCCTCACGTATTGAGCTTTGAACACGCTTGACGATCGGAGGTTGCAACGACCGCCTCTGCTCCCTGTTCCTATGAGATTTCTGAGTTGACAAAACTTGTGCCTGGCCTGCTCTTCGCGCATAATCTCCGAGTACCTGGGCGGGTCGGCGGGATGGGGGGGGGAGGAGTTCAAGGTTTAGGGCTTAGGGCTTAGGGCTTAGGGTTTAGGGTTTAGGGTTTAGGGTTTAGGGTTTAGGGTTTACGGTTTAGGGTTTAGGGTTTGGGGCTTGGGGTTTGGGGTTTGGGGTTTGGGGTTTGGGGTTTAGGGTTTAGGGTTTAGGGTTTCGGGTTTAGGGGGGAATGGGGCGAAGGGGCAGGGCGGGGGGGAGTTGGGGACAGGGTGCTTTGGAGCTGCGCACGTGCTCTAAATTGCTCTGGAGACTCGAACTCCTGAACCCTGAAGTTTCTTCTGGTAACTCTTGATTCCGCCCTCTCATTCCTGGTACCTTTAGCCATGAACCTGAACCCAAATTTCAAGGCTCTGACCCCCCCCATCGGTAAGGCCGTAGAAGGCTTGCGGTCGGAGACACCAGTTTTATGAATTGGAGACAAGGATCACACAACTCACTGACAATTATCCGTAAGTACTTAGTAAGTACTGTCGACTAGAAAGTGGCTTCTTGTTCGGTGCCCGTGGGTGGGTTTTCCGAATCCAGAAAAAACCACGCACAAGCTAGAAACATCTAGAAACCTGCAAAACCTGAAAACCCGACATGCCCTAAAACCCACCTTTCGTCCACGGGCCCTCGGCTTGTCAGAATTGCTCTCTATCGGCTTCAGGCCTTTCGGGCAGTCAGGTGCCATACTTTCCTTCGACCACAGGCACTCTGAATCGCACGAAGCTGCTGCCCAGTAGCCCCCCAGAAGTCTTAGAAAGGGCGAACAGCATCCCCCGTTGACTTGGAAGCGGGCTTCAGCCCACATTCCGACCTTTTCAAGCTTGCCCCTCAACATGACCAGCACTACAACCCTTCCAAATCCGCAGCGGAACCCTGACCCATGAGCTGCAGTATAGCAAACTCCCGAAGCCCTCACCGGCAAGTGGTCATCCTCTTGTCAAGTTCCGCTAAGCCCCTAAACCCTACACCCTACACCCTACACCCTAAACCCTAAACCCTAAACCCTAAACCCTAAACCCTAAACCCTAACCTCAACCGATCATCCGACCGTCCGAGGCGCTTCCCTTCGCAGAGGAGGTCAAACGTAGCCAGGAAGGCATAGGCCGCTCCAAAGAGCGCCGCAACGAACCACAGAGAGGACTCATCTGGGAAGGGCCGCGGCACGCGGAACGGCAGGGAGCTTTGCGTGTCACGGGGCTTCCTTGAGGGCTTTCGGCTGCTCTCGGGCACCGGGTACCTCTGCAATGCTTGGGTTGCCGGTTTTGAAATTGCATGGCTGTGAAATTGCATGGCTTTGGGGCTTTGGGTCGTTGGGGCTTGCGGACTCTCTAGTTGATTTTGACTCAGAGCTCTCCAGGTTCCATTTCAGGTCACTTCGCTTGCAGAGCTTCCACTTTGGCCCTGGGCTTGGGCCGTTTTGGGGTCAGAAAGTGGGTTGCTTTGAAGAAGCAACTTGTGGCACTTGAAAGCAAAGGCCTCATCCTGCGCTGCGCTCCGGAACCTGGCCCTTCACACCCTTTCAATGTTTAGGGTTGTAGGGTTTAGGGTTTTAGGGTTTAGGTTTTAGGTTTTAGGGTTTAGGGTTTAGGGTTTAGGGTTTAGGGTTTAGGGTTTAGGGTTTAGGGTTTAGGGTTTAGGGTTTAGGGTTTAGGGTTTAGGGTTTAGGGTTTAGGGTTTAGGGTTTAGGCTATCGCTTTTAGTTTAGGCTCTCCAAGCCAATGAGCCCTGCAGAGTGCGCCCAGGCACCCACCTAGAACTCACGTCAAAAAAACTCCTGAACGACTTGCCCTCCCAAGCCTCCCCCACAAAACCCTGAACCCTCAACCCTCAACCCTAAACCCTAAACCCTAAACCCTAAACCCTAAACCCTAAACCCTAAACCCTAAACCCTAAACCCTAAACCCTACCAACCCTCCCAGGAAGCCTCGGCTCTCCGGCCGAAAAGACAGCATCGTGATCCCGAAGATGCCCAAAACAACCGACAGGAGCCTCGGGTGCAGAGGTATCAGAGGCGGAGGAGCCTCGGCCTTACTAGAACCTAAGGGGTTTAGGGTTTAGGGTTTAGGGTTTAGGGTTTAGGGTTTAGGGTTTAGGGTTTAGGGTTTAGGGTTTAGGGTTTAGGGTTTAGGGTTTAGGGGGCCTAGCCTTGGAGGGCTCTCTTGCTTAAATGGACTCCGCGTCACCTGGCATGCCTCTCAAAGTTGGAACTTGTCGCTTTTGCCGCGCTTTTAGAGATTGCAGGACATGCCACATGTCCATGTCCATCTACTCGGGCACCAAACCCTTAAAACCCTGCAGCCTCAATCCCCTGTGATAAAACACCCTAGACCCCAAACCCTAAAGTCCCCCAAAACCCCTAAACCGCCATGCAGAGGAGCAGGTAGCCACGTTTGTGGAAGCGACCTGCGAACAGAGCTTGGACTCGTTTTTGGGGGCCATGACGAACTCGATTTTTGCCGGTTACGGGTTCAAAGGTCTCCAAATTTGGGGGACTCTCCAGAGTTGAGCAGATCGAGCAGTTGGCTTAAGGGGTGTGGGGATGTTTGGGATGCTTCGGCCGCAGGGCTTCTACGGGCGGCTTCGAGCAGATCGAAGGTCAAAGCTTTGCACCACCACTGCCTGCGGGCCCTTCAAAATCAATGTTGCAACCCAAAGACGTTTGCAGGGGCACAACTGCCGAGGGCACACACTTGAGTCTACTAGCACTCGTTCCCACATTCATCCCGGCATGCACCCCGCTGTCTTTCAGCCCCAGGCCCAAGACCCTAATCGTGAAAACTGGATGCCACACGGCCTAGGGGCACAATGTCGCTGAGCACTCCAATGAATCCTTTCCTTGGTGCATGAACGTGAAACCCACGAGCCCTGGAGAACGCACCGCAACCTCCCACTCCAACCTGAATCAACTACTGCTACTTAAGCGAATAGCTGGGTTTGAATAAGGGCTCTCCATCTTTTCGAGTGGCTCGCACGACGTTCCTCCCAATACCCTCCGCCTGCCCTCAGAGTGCTCTGAGTCACTGCTGCACCAACATGTGCAGGCACCCCCTTAGCCTAAACCCTCAAACCCTAAACGTGGGTGAAAGGGGGGGAGTTAGGATGCAGAGCCCAGCATCATCGACCATGGCATCATGGAAACCGTCGACGCGAGCTGATACTCCACGCCCTGCGCGTCGGCCAGTGGCTGAGATTCGCTGGACCCCTTCCGACCCAAGGGGCTTGCCTAGAGAAGCAAAGTTGGGTCTGAAAAGGGATCGCTGAGCCGTACTAAACCCTAAACCCTAAACTTTCCCTAAACCCTAAACCCTAAACAAGTATATAACTCACTGAAACTTCCCGGCTGGAGGGCTCTTGAGGTCTGGGCCGGGGTCTGAGTTGACCGAGCGGGATGTCAGATGCAGGCGGCTGGAGCAGCCACACAATCGCACATCCAGAGAAGTAACTTTGTGAACGGCGGAGATAGGTATGAACGGCACGAGCATTGTGTGTGTGTGTGTGTGTATATATAATACAGTGGGGGGGTTGGTGTTGCTTTGGGGCATAGGATCAGGATCTTTGCGGCTCATGCTATCAATGAGAAAGGATGTGAAGGGCGCTCTCTCCGGCACTGAGGATGCTCTTCAAAGGCTTGCCAGCCGAGATCGGACTGTCTGCCCATGACGGCTTGCACTCACGCACTATCCTGGACAGTCCTGAACCCTTCAGGTGACAGAACACACGTCAAATGGCTGAAGCCTTGACGCCCATGTGCTGAAAGTAGGGCAGCATCGATGTCCTTACGTTCAACCCCAGAGAACCCATGACCTAAGGAAAGGTTGTGGGACCTTGTGCCCCGATGACCCCTACGCTTGCTACTGCGATGACCGACAACAGAAAACTGACATGTTTCTTGGGGCTGTGGTTTGGATCTCATAGTTGGAAGGAAAAAGGGCCAGCATTCGAAGCCATCATGGGCCGTCGAAATGGTGTCAACCCTCGACACTTGACACACGCACACCATGTAAAATCATGCTCTGGGTATTTCCCTGAACCCACTCAAAGCAACGGCAACAGCAACGGTTGAGGACATCGATGGGTCGAGCATGGTCGAGCCCGTGAACTGCCACGCGGCTCTAAAGCAAGGCTCAACGGAATCAACAAATTCAGCGGGCTCAAACTTGGGGGGAGTTCGGCGTCTTGGGGCCGGGGAGCTGCAAGAGTGTCATCGTGGCGCCCTTCAGCAGCAGGTAGTTGAGCAACAGGTAGCCCAAGAACCTGCTTAAGGGGGACAGGCTCCAGGGTTTAGGGTTTAGGGTTTAGGATTTAGGGTCTAGGGTTTAGGGTTTAGGGTTTAGCAATCCAGCACCTACGTTTCGTGTAAGAGATGGGATGGGCTGGACCCTTTAGATGAAGGCAGCTGTTGTGCAAGAAGGGGGCATACTTACTGTAGCGACTGGGAGGACAAGAGGTACAAAGCTTCCGCGCGGGTTTTGCAAAGTCCTACAAGGCGTTGTAGGCCCGCCTACCTTAGTCACTCTCAGGTTGGGGTGCTTCAGCTCCCCCCTCAAGATCTGAAGGAAAGCTAGTACTAAAGGGCCCGGCTCCCTCAGAGCCTCCGCTTCAGCGATCCCAAAACGAATCCCCACGTCTGAGGCCTGACCTGTCAACCTTTCGACCTATCCCAATCGCAACGCCAGCGTTTCAGCCCTAAACCCTAAACCCTAAACCCTAAACTCTAAACCCTAAACCAGTTGGGACATCGGCGCCTGTCGCCGAAAGCAGAGCGCAGGCTTAGAACAAAGACATGCAAGTCTTTGCCCAGGGCGAAGCATGGAGACCTGAAAAAAGACGGCGCAAAACCCCGACAACCCCCTGGGTCCCTATAGCGTAGCCCGCGAAGAAAAAGGTGCACTTCTTTATGTATGGGGCTTTAAAAAATGTACAGTACGAACCTAAGCATGTACAACGAGGATGAACGCCAACTCTGGGTCCATAACCACCCCTCCTTTGCGGTTTAATTAGGGTGTAGGGTTTAGGGTGTGTACGTTGGGGGCAGAGGTCCGAATTTTGGTTTTGGGGTTGGGGGGGGGGGGTTCTGCTCCTTCTCGCCGTGGTGCAAAGGCTTCTGCTGCTAAAACCGTTCAAGCAGCGATGTCGAATGTCGATGCGGTGTTTTACTCTGTGCAAGTGTTCGTGTTTTGTCTCCTTCTGTGATGGATGCCGCAGCTTTGAGGTGGCTTGTTGTAAAAAATGGCATTCCAGCCGTGAATCATGGGCCTATACATTCTCAGCATCAAAAGTTAAAGCAGCACGATGCCCGCCAAGCTAAGGCCGCCGAGAGTCAGCAGGTTGCGAACCTCCATGCTTGCCATTGACACGGAGCGCCCGTATGCGCATTCAAAGCCGCACTTGCCGATCAAATGGGCGCAGGAGTGCCATGATGCAGCCGGGCAGCTGAGACGATACTGGTGTACGCTTTCTGCAACTACCCCATCACTGAAACGACGAACTTGTGGCTCAGATGCATACGTCCGAGGCTGGCAGGAATCACGAAATGCCTGCACATGTCTTGGGGACCCTCAACCAAAGACTGCCTAAAGGATTTCAGATCTCTTTGTCGGCCTGTGGCTTGTCGCATGAAAGGGTCATAAAATCTGGTGTCTGATGCCTGTCGTGGACTGCGCAATGAGCAGGTTGGAGCCAAATAAGTTATCACTTCGACCGCCCTCCTCCTGTCCTGAAACCGCAGGGGCCGATGTGGGGCCGGCTTGAGCGTCTCTTGCTATCGTGGGATGTGGCTTACTACAGAGCGCTTCAATACGGAGACCTTCCAAGACATTCTCATGATACATCCTGAGCCCTTTGACATCTTCGAGCAACGGGCACCTTTGCTCTGCAGGCTTTGAAGACAACCAGTCGCGCTACGTGCCTCCGCTTTGCGGATGAGGCGTTTGCCTGATTGCCGGACTGTGCGCCCTTGCAGAAACACCAATGTTGGTGGGTGCATGACTGCCCTGCCATCAAGCCTACCTTGTCCGTTTCGAACAACGCACATGTCCTCAGGCGGAAAAGGCACTGCGTGGCAGCGTGGAGTGGAGCGGGCGTTCGCAAGCAGCGCGGGTAACGTGGCTGAACAAGAGCTTGCACTAAAAGAGAATCCGTGCTGAACGCCAGCATGACATTGCCTGATGCAGCTTGGCTTCAGCTGCACAGTCACTATGTACACTACTTCCAGTATTTCGGGTATGCGACCAGTAGCCATGTCCTGCTAGAAAAACATACGTCAAGAATTCCGTACTCAGAGCCGAAACAAAGACCCAGTAAGGCTTCGCAATAGGATGCCTCAACTTGTAGCCTAAACCCTACATTAACCTACTACTTGCTTAAGAACCCCAAAAGAATAACAAACTAATAACCCCTACATTACCCTTAATAAGGAAGAATATTCTTTCGGGTGTTCTTAAGCAATTAGTTGTAACTTGTGCAAGGCTGAACTCACGCTGGCCGTTTTGACAGTGGGCTGCCTTAGTGTGAAGCGACGCTGCTGAGGTGTGAAACAACAGGGATGCACACGAGATACACGACTGCGCGTAGATCTGAATGCACTGAAGACATGGCGTAACAGCAGAGGCATCAGAGGCATCACCGCGAGCCAACCCCCCATGGCTGGAAATCAGTAAACCCGAAACCCTAAACCCTAAACCCTAAACCCTAAACCCTGAGGAAGCTCAACTGGGGCCTCTTGCCCTGCATCTCAAGCGAGGACACGGAGACCATGTCGCTGATGAAGCTCTCGGCATCCTGGAAGCTCGGAGGGGGTTCCTCTGAGGGCCCCAGGATCGGGACATGGTACAACCCACCCTAAATCCCAAACCCCTAACCCCTAAACCCAAAGCCTAGCTGAAGATATGCTGAAGATCTCGCCCTATGCTGGAGGCTAGGTCGGACATGGGGTATCGGCCTACAGGACTTCAGGGAGGAGATGCGCAGCTGACCCCCAAGATCTCCCAAAAAGTTCGAGGTGGCTCGAGAAAGCAACAAAGCTCCCCACAGTCATTAAAACTAAACCCTAAACCCTAAACCCTAAACCCTAAACCCTAAACCCTAAACCCTAAACCTTAAACCCTAAACCCTAAACCCTGCCCAGCTGTCTATGCACAAGGAAGCCTGAAGCAACACCACCCCTCCATCTTCTGGAAGCCCCTTAGCCCAGAAACCTCTCGTCACCGGTTGCAGGTCTCAACCATATTTGAGCACTTCAAACCCTCTCTCCATCGCACAAGTCCAGAACCCAGACCAAACAAAATGGCGCCACATGACTCCAGACCTGTCCTGTTTTCAGCATTTCTCAAGTCCCGAAACCCTAAACCCTAAACCCTAAACCCCAAACCCTCCCTAAACCCTAAAACCTAAACCCTAAACCCTAGAAACACATTTGCTGCTCACACACATGGGCATCAAGGGAAGTCTCGCGGATACCCCAAAAGCCCTTCTCGCCTCGGCAGTATCGGCCTCACGGGCCCTGCGCTGCTGTCTTTTCTACGGAACAATAGTTTAGGGTTTAGGGTTTGGGGTTTAGGGTTTAGGGTCTAGGGTCTAGGGTCTAGGGTTTAGGGTTAAGGGTTTAGGGTTTAGGGTAACTTTCCAGGGGGCGATTGTGTTGGAAACCGGTTTTCAGGCTGTTAGAGACAAGGTCAAGGGTTCGCGCAAGGTGCTCCTGAGGGTTAAGGGGAGTGTGGTACGATTAAACCCAACACAATAACCATCAGAGTTCAGAAACGTTCTCACTTCAAAACCGTGGTTCAAAACTACGGCGGTTCACACTCCATTCCAAGTCAGAGACGGCCTATCGCGACAAACACTCGAATCCTTGGCCTCCACCAACTCACTTATCTGCAAGACTGCTTGTTGTTCAGCCCTATTTCCTGCCAGCTGTGGTAGCACAGAATTTTCAAACAGATACTCCCATCTGGGAATGGGGGCGGGGGGTCGAGTTGACAACCTCTCCGGACCTATCCACTTGCATCTTCGTTTGCAGAGTGGAAAAACTCTAAGCTCTGAGCATTTGCATGCAAACGCCATGTGAACTGCGAAACCCAGAACTGGACACCTGCATTCGTCGGTGGGCCTGTCATTCAGCGACCTGTCGCTGGACCCAAAGCGAATCTGCGCCTTCGTTTCCAGGATCCCAGGCTTCGTGGCTTTGAGTTTCGGGTGGACAAGATGCAGCGCACGAAAAAACAAATGCGCAAAACACAATATCTGCAAGGAATTCCTCGAGAAGTGCCGACGCCAAGCCTGTAGCAAAGGGCTGTATGAGGCCCTCATCGTCCACCACTATAGCTTAGGGCCTTAAACCCTAAACCCTAAACCCTAAACCGAGGTATGCCGAGGTTGTAGCACACAAAGCTTAAGGCCTGGCTCAAAGTGCAGGATGCCGTGACGGAAAAGACGTTCGTGTTGCGTATGGGGTTTCCGAGAATAGGGGCACCTTCTTGGGGTCCTAAACCCTAAACCCTAAACCCTAAACCCTAAACCCCAAACCTTTAGGAATCCCCTATTTCGTACACCTCACGATGTGCTCATGCTACTGGCAGGCCTTGATCGGAACCTCAAGGGATCCGGGGGACGGTGGGGGCTCCACTGGATGGCGCGGCAGAGCCGTGAAGCCTTGCCGTTTGGGGTTTGTTTTGCTTTGTTGGGGTGGAGGGTCAAGGCTGATAACAAGTCGGATTAAGAGTTTAGAGGTTGAGACCTAGGCGGTCCTGTTCACACTTCCGGGGAAGTTCTTGCATTAGGGAGGGTGGAGCAAGGGCAATGGGTGTTGCAATACATGGGGGGAGCCAAAGCCCCGTGGAGTATCACGGCCTATGCCAACTCGAACCTTTCCAACCAGAGTCTGCCCAACAAGACATTCACACCAAGAACCAGGCTCTCCCTGAAGTAGGAGAAGATGAACCGGTCTTTGCTGCAACTCACATCTTAGGTTTGGACTTCTGTGTTCAGGGACAGAGCAAAACAGCCTTATTCCTGGGGCGTTGTAGCGAAATAGAGCTTATGGCTATTCTGAAGGCCACAGGGAGGCAACAAGGGCAAAGAAAGAGAGAAAGAAAGAAAGAAAGAAAGACAGAAAGAAGAACGTCAAAGAGACACAGAAAGATAGATAAAGGGAGAGCGACAGAGACAGAGAGAGAAAGAGAGAGAGAGAGAGACGAAGAAGCACGGAGGCATAAAAACACAGAGACACTGAGACAAGTCTGCCAAGCTTGCCGAAGCCTTCTGCCAAAGTAAAGCCCTGACACCTGGCCCCGAAAGCCTCCAGGCCTAAACCACAACTTCTTTCATCTGCGGAGCTGTCTGCATCGTCGAAGCTGACGTCGCGCTGGAGGGCCGCCACAAGGTCGCCTGTTTCTGTCGCTGTGAAAAACTATGAACTTCGGCATTTAGGGTTTGGATGGGGAATTTAACATTGCAGGGCTTGGCGCTCGATGGTTTGGTGGGGGCTGGCATTGGAGTTGGGCCTCACCTTGCGGTGAAGACTGAGGGGGAGCAACATGGGAGCACCACACACTACCAATTGCTTAAGAACCCCCAAAAATGAAAATATTCTTCCTTATTAAGGGCAATTTGGGGAATACTTTTTGTTGTTCTTTTCACTCCGCCAAGCCTGCGAAGCACTGTCCAACATCTGAAGAGAGCTGCTCGAAGCTGAAACTACGGAAAACCTCCGAAAGCCATCGCCAACTTTCAAACACCCAACAGCACAGCTTCCTATTAGCCCCTTCTCCTTGGAGAATAGAACAGAACAGCACGTCCGGTTAGGCACAAGAAACTACTATCGAAAGACGTTTCTGCCCAGTCGCCGAGGCTTGGCGGAGCCTCTGTGGGGGGGTCAGGCTCCACCTGACAGATCTGATACTTTAGGCCAAACATCTCAGGTTGGGGCTCACACGCTGGACTTTTGACTCCGACTGCAATCGCATGTTAGGACTTCGAGGATCTTGATTTGGTTTCTCATGCATGTCGGACCGCTGAATGTCGAGATGTGGTAACCTCCGCATAGGGGGCAAAGTTGCAGGGCAATGACAGCATGTAAAATATGTGCAAGTATGTACATATGAACATAACAATATATGTATATATATGATTCAGCCCCGGCGGGCCCCCCCCCCCCCCCCCCCCCCCCCCCCCCCCCCCCAATGGTACCCCCCCCCCCCCCTGTGGTGTGGTTGGGGGTTGGTTTTAGGGTTTTAGGGTTTAGGGTTTAGGGTTTAGGGTTTAGGGTTTTAGGGTTTTAGGGTTTTAGGGTTTAGGGTTTAGGGTTTACGGTTTAGGGTTTTAGGGTTTAGGGTTTAGGGTTTAGGGTTTAGGGTTTTCCCCGCGGATGGGGTACTAAGATGATCCCCCCCCCTGTGGTGTGGTTGGGGGTTGGTTTTAGGGTTAGGGTTTAGGGTTCAGAGTTACCATGGGGGGGGGGGGGCCCAGGACGCTCGACGCTGAACCATATATATATATATATATACACACCTATGGTGCAGTGTTGCAACCCCCGCCCTCCCCGTGGTGTGGAATTCGGAATGGTTGTTTTGTCTAGGCTTTTTAGGCATACCGGGGCTGCTGTGCCTACTCCAAGTTCCTCAGAAGCCTACACTCCTGAGCAGTGCCGTCAATCCGACATGCCCAGGCACCTGCAAGCCCCCCAAACAACGAGACCCTACCACAGTTGAGCTCCGGGCCCCCAAGTTCTTGGGGTTGGCGACGCTGTTGCCTCCGAACTTCGGGTTCGAGACATGATGGAGTGCACTCGAAACCCTGCCTACGACTAACCATAACTAGCTAGCTAACCTCCGGGTGAAGAAGAGTTTAGGAGTGTAAGAAGGTGTCTAGGAGGGTTCGTGACCAACTCAACCTAGGTGCCTGTGGACAGCTGCGGTCGGCCCTCAGCGCCGTCACTGTCGCTGGTGGCCCGGCGGCAGCTGGAGCACACGGAGTCCGTGTTCATGAGACTTCCCTGCACGACGGACACACGTCAGGCCTTGGGATGTTCCCCCTTATACTAAGAGTCCTTTATCGGGACTATAGCACCCCCTGCCTATTGCTAGTCCCTATTAAGGACTGCTAGTATAAGGGGGAACATGCCAAGCCATGCCCCTTGAAGCCTCCAAAGCCCTAGACCTCCTCCTCAGCTTTACTTGCTCATCTCCTTTGTTCACGGGAAAGGGTTCTGTTATCATTTAGGGTTTAGGGTTTAGGGTTTAGGGTTTCGGGTTTAGGGCTTGGGGTTTAGGGTTTAGGAATTTAGGGTTTAGGGTTTAGGGTAATCAGCTCCGCCCAACCCTCCTGAACACCTGGTCCTCGCACGGAGCCAGCGAAGAGAGGCGCAAAGGTGGGACCTCGCAGGTTTGCTCGGAGAGCATCCGGGCTGAAGGGCACATTCAAGCTCTTGAGTGGGCTTCAACGGGCTTAGCGGACAGACTCTGATAGATGTTCGGGATTGCAGGACGACATAGCAACGCGCTTGCTGCGAGATTGAATTCTACACAGTATCACCTCCACCACCACCACCACCACCACCACCACCACGACCACGACCACCACCACCACCACTACATGACCAGGACCAGGACCACAAGCGCGAGAACCACTTCATGTTGCTCTTGCCTGTAGGCAGCGAAAGACCGCAATAGAACCGAACCACACAGAACTAAACCACTGCGAACCGAGCTGCGAGCTTCCCCTAGTACAACCCCCAAAGTTTCAGGGCCTTCAGGGGAAGCAAAGCCCGAAAGGACGGTGTTCAGGGTATCGCAAGAACTTCTGCCAGCTCTGCCCGCTTCTTGTTGACTGCTTGCAACAAAAAAAGCCTGGAACCAACCAATACCCACCTCATGTGAAGCAAGGAAACCGCTCTGCGTCATGCACCCGAAAATCAGCAAACCACGTCGCCTGGCCTTCGCCCGCGCCTCTCGCGGGTCGCGAGGACAAAGAGAAGCCTCCGATGAGAGTTTCCGGATGTTCTTGGGATGAAGGTATCACTTTGGAGGCTGCATGACCCAAGGTGGTTGTGCTGTTTTCACAAGAGGTCCTTCGTCCTCAACTAACCTTGTAAACCACAGGGCCCTTGAACCCTTAAGAAGGACAGTTTGGAGTTCTATGCTTTCAGGGCCTGAAGGTACTGGTTGTCGCCTGCTTGTAACGGTTGAAGGCAGAAGGGTTTGGGGGTTGTTTCGGGTGTTGAAGCGTAGGGCCTGCGACAGTATGCTGCGTTTCGGACATCGCGAGTTTCCATCCTTCACACAGCCACAACTACAGCTCTCAAACCGCGCAACCCAAAGACACGCAATACCAGCCCCAGGAGTCCCAAGACTCAGAGAACGATTCTCTCCCTGACGGCTGGGATGGCCGGGGGGCCTCCGCGACAGCTGCATCGCCTTGCACCAACGACGCAGCTGCCTCAAGGCGTTGATCCGGGCATTGCAGGCCGAACCCTAAGCAAGCCCAAGTCATAAAGAACACCCTAAGCAAGCCCAAGTCATAAAGAACACCAAGACTAAAAACACACACACACACACACACACACACACACACACACACACACACACACACACACACACACACACACACACACACACACACACACACACACACACACACAACCACACACACACACACACACACACACACACACACACACACACACACACACACACACACACACACACACACACACACACACACACACACACACACACACACACACACACACACACACACACACACACACACACACACACGCACACCTTGTCTGGTCGGCAAATTTGGAGAAGGCCCTCGGATCCAAGTACTCCAGCAGCCGATGCTGTCGTTGCAACATCGTGCCAACGCCAACATAAGCACGTAAGCTTGGAGCGAAGCAAAAGGAGTCGATCCACAACAGCATCCTACAAACCCCACGGCTGCGACTCGCAAAGCCAAGTCCAAGCCGTCCAAGCCCAAAAAACTAACGAAGAAGATCACCACTACAAAGCCCCCAACCCCGCAAAGGACGAAGGGTCAGCTTGTAGCGCTTTGATTTGGGATGTTCCCCCGTATACTACCAGTCCTTAATAGGGATTCAAATAAATTGAGGACTGTTAGTTTGGGGGGAACATCCCAACTTACAATGCCCTGCGCATCTCAGGGTCCGTCTGGCACGGCCTCCTCCGTTTCAGCGGGGCGGGGCTGCCTTACAGTCGCCACAACCTGCAAAAGGTCCCCAGGTCGGGTTTTTTCAGCCTAGGAGCTGCCTAGGACCTATAGGGACCCTTGGGGGGCTCAGGGAGCTCTTGCCCTTAAGATGCCAGGATGTGCTTCTTAGTCCGTGCTTCTTGCGTGTTTGGGCTTTGGGGACCGAGGACATCTGGGCAAGGTACGTTGGTGCCGAGGTGGTCGGGGAAAAAAGGGGGATAACAACGTCCACTCACAAAATGCTACCATTGCTAAGCTGCGATTCTGGCATTTACTGCATCCTCGCGCGTTGCCGTACACCACATTGCGAAGCAACCGTATTGAGGTTTGACGCTTTGGAACTCACAACTAGGCCCGGAAACTTCAAAAGCCCCAGAAAACCTCAGAACTCAAACAGACCTGGTCCAATCTCTCCATACGACTTGGAGAAGGAGAATGGCAAACAAATGACATACATTACAACTAAAGAAAAAAAAGAAGGCCCCCCCCAAAAAAAAAAAAACTAATAATGAGTACAAGCAGAGCCCGGCGGAGCCCGGCGGAGCCCGCGGCGCCTCCTCAAAGCGCCGAGCTGCTTCCGTGAGGGACTCGGCCCCTGCTTGGGGGAAGGCTTTCCGGTGCTCGAGGAGCCCCTGAGGCTCCAAGGACTATTTTTGGCACCTCGCTATATATAGTACTTTGGGGATTTGGGCCTGTTTTCGGAAATCCCCATGCGTGTCGAAACTTCTGACAGCTGAAGATTAGGGTTTAGGCTTAGGGCCGAGTTCAGGGTGTGTCGAGCAGAACCGGATAAGGTCTTCGCAGTCCACCTCCGCAAGCCGAAAGGCAGACCATAGCAGGCCCACCCGCGCAATCCCGAAATGTGAGTCTAACGCTGTCAGAAGTTTCGACACGCATGGGGATTTCCGAAAATAGGAGGCGCCCCTTGTATAAATACTACGTAATCTGTTTAAAGGAACTCCCGGAAAACAACACATACTCCGCCATACTCAGGGATTTGGGATGCCTCGGGCTACGGGGTCCATCCCCGAAGTCCGTTCGCCCGAGAACTCCGGAAAGGAAATCCCTCTAAGTCTCTCCAAGCCCCATTCAATAGAGCCCAAGGTCCAACAAGAATCCCGAAAGAGCCCAGTTCTCTGATACCCGGCACCTTCACCCCAAGCATTGGCACATCGCCGCAACGCTCGAGCCAGCAGAGCCTGGCAAAAGAGTTGGGGGAAAAGCTCCAAGGCTCAGACTCGCAAGAGCCGCTCTCTTATTGTCCTGTCCAGACATTTTCTCCCTGCCTTTAGCGGGTCTTTGTAGTCTTCTGGCCCCATGCCATCCCCTGCACCCACATGAAGCTGAAAATCTTCGGTCTTGACCCGGGAACGGAACGGCCACGAAAACCTGAAGAGCACCCAGTACGCAAAGTGCGAGCTTGCAAGAAACGCGCAAGGCACCGAACTCGCAAACCCAAGAAATTCATGCGACTCTCCCACCCTTCCCAAACAATCTGCACCTTCCGGCTCGGCGCAAGGGCAGCCAGGAGCTCTAGCATCACCTCCCAGGACAAGGCTTTTTCAGTATCTTCAAGAACTTTTTGCTTAGGGTTTAGGCGGTTTCGGGTCTCGGTTTATAGGGTTTAGGGTTTCAGCGAAAACGCCATCGGGCTGGGAACCATGGCCTTGTGCACAGCACGCACATGTGTGCATTTGTTTTTTCGCGCTGTGATGCCCATGCGCCGAAAGTACACCAACCTCATCAACGTCCCAAAGCAAATTGTGGCTGCGGCGCACCGATCGTCCACGGCTACATCTAAGTCTAGCTCAACGACAGATGCTCCAACGCCGTTCAATATAACATCAGCATCCAGCATCCAGGGGATCACCTCAACAACCTCATGCAACGCTTCACAGACTACAGCAGCTTCCAACCGGCAGCATCGCTCTAAGTACATCCACCCGCACTTCGCCATCCAACATGTGATCATCAGATCTGCATGTAGGTATATAACCTGTAGACCGCTTCAGAAGAAACGTCTCAACACTGCAAGCGTATGCGGAACCTCAACGTCCTAGCGCGGCGTGCATCCGATTGGGCACAGGGCGCTCTACGGCCAGTGAGTGCGAACAGGCTAGTGGGTGATATCAAGCGAAAAATCCAACTCCCAAGTCCACCGAGGCAGGTGCTTCTGCACGCTCATCGCGCTGCTGTCGTGCCGCGAGGAGCTGGTCCATGCGTTGGGCCAACTCCTGAGTGGAAGCCATCAACTGTTGCCATATCAACCCAAGAACTGCATGCAAGCAACACCTGGGCCATGAACCTGAAGTACATTTTAAAAACACACACACATACACATTGAAGCTTGCGCACGTAAGGGCCTCGCAGGAAACAACCCTTTACAGTGCTCGGGTGGCTCAGAGGTGGTTTCAGAATTGGGCCGGAGGCTTGAAAGGCCTTAGGTCTACGAGTCTACCGTTTTGCTCAAATTTGGGGACCCCATGGGATTTGTTAGCACCTCTCTGAACCGGCCTCCACGGCTGCAGTCTGCACATGCGCTGCGTGCTGGAGTTTGCTGTCGGCCTGCAAGGTCCAGGCGTTTTTACTTCGGCGTCGCAGCCACCCTGTCAAGACCCCAAACCCTCTGCGCCTTGGCTCCGACTTTGAGGAGCCAGCGCACCGCACGCTTCCGGCGGCTGGGCCGGGCCTCGAAATCTGAGGCGCGCTCCTGAGAGCTTTGGGGGGGGGGGGGGGGGGGGGGGAGGGGGGGCGGGGGTTAGTGGGTGTTTGAGTGGGCTTCAAGGGGGAATTAGGGAGGGGTCAGGATTGAAGTTTCCAAGATTGTTTTTCGGATGCCTTCAGGAGTGTTTTTGGTTATGCGCAACTCCATGGTTTGAGCTGCTTCGGGGTGCCCTGGTGACGATGGAGGCATAATATGTTCGTGGGCGTTGACTGATTGAAGGGTTCTCTCTGGCAATCGAGGCAACGAGGAGTTGCTAAAAGTGCTGTTGTCATTCAGGCTACTCAGGGCTAGAAGCTTTCATAGCAGGGCTAGTGCGGGGCCTTGAGATGAGGCTTCTCTGGGTTCTGCAAGCTCTGGGCCTCAGCAGGCAACCTCGTCTCTGGAACTTGAAGATCCCAACTCAAGGAGCAGTTCTCCAGCGCAAGATGCCGCAACCAGTACCCCGAGACTCAAGACGCAAAACGAAAACTATCGAAAACTGGAACTCGGTCCCTGCCCACACGCCAACTTCCTTCTGAACAAAGCAAGAGAGCGTGACAACAGAGACTACACTCCTGCAGCTCGACAGAGACCTGGGCTCGCGCTCAGGGGCTCTGATCATCTGGGAGAGATTGGGATGATCTTTCGAGCCTTGGGGCTCTGTGATTGAGGCCCAACCCTGAACCCGGAACTGAATCCCGAAATACGCGAACTCTCCCCCACAACGCTAGGCACCTACAAGCCCGCTGCAAGCCTTAAATCTGTGACTCCTACGTACAGACCCTAAACTCCGGATGATGTGCTATGCTGTGGACGTGCCCTCCAAGCCCCTCCAACTCCAAGCCCCTCCAAGCACTTCACCCCCCCCCCTCCTTCGCTGCCCAACAGCCTTACGTGCACGTACCTACCCCACCCTACCCCGTCTGTCTGTGTGAATCATACCACGACGGATGTTGGCGGGATGGTGAAGTGCTTGTGAAGTACTTCCAGATGCTCCAGCAGCATGGGCAAAATCATCTAGCTAGACACCCAACCGAGCCTTGTCCTTGCGGAGGACGCTCTCTTGAAGCGCCTCAGAGCAGAGGACTTCCTTGGCAGCCGAGGGGTGGGTCATGCAAGTCTGTTTGCCTTTAGGAAGTTTAGGCGGGGAAACCCGCTTGGGACGGAGTTACCGGGCTTGAAGGCACAAGGAGTCCAAGCGGCCTTTGGGGCAGTAGCGTTCAGAATATTCGGATCGTACTCTGATGCACCCTCGTGCACTCTGATGTGTAAACTTAAGCCGAAGGGGGGCCTCGGGGCGATGAGCAGCACAATCACTGCTTCTCCAGGCTTCTCAAACGATGGGAAAATCATGGATCACCGCAGTCTTAGAAGTCCGTGAACCAGGGTGTTCTCGTGCAGCTACCCCGGAAGCTCGCGTGGCTTGGCTCACCCGCCCTGCGCTTGCAAAGACGTTTCGGCGATTTACAGCGGTTCCGCAACCGCCAGGCCCGTACAATTGCAAAAAGGGTTGCATGTGATTGCAGATGTTGCAACCCAGCGGTCGTACAATGATGGGCTAGACATTCTCCTTGACTTGTGGCTATCAAAATATTACGAAATTATTTGGTGGCTGTTCTGCACTGGGATGTTTGTCTGCACTCGACATCCACCAGCCCAGCATGGCCCAGCGGGAGGATTCTGGACGTCAGAAAATGCATCGGAAGAGCACGACTTCGTCCAGAAACAGCGGCCAACACAGGCACATGTAACATGAATTGGTGCTCACTGGCAAATGCCAATCCCGACACGCCACAAGCCCCGGCATTGCCAAGTTTAAGGATCAATATGCATCGCCTGAAGTAAATGACCTGTGCCGGTGCTGTGTGTCACGACAGGGTTGCCTGATCAGCACTACCCTGAACCTACCCAAGGTGAAGGTGGAAGAACCATCACAAAGCCGCGTCCATTGCTCGAGACGAAGGACCAAGGACCCCCCGAGAAACTGGACATTGCAGCAGATGAACAACATCCCCTAACCCCCAAACCCTAACCCCTAAACCCCAAACAGCAACCCTAAACCCTAACCCCTAAACCCTAAACCCTAAACCCTAACATGAGTAGATGTGGCCGTGGTGCGAAGCGCTCCAGCTTCTCCAGCTCCGCGCGCTGTGCCGCGGCAGCGGCCTCGGCGCTGCGGCGGAGCTCTGCCAAGGGCGCAAGGACGTCGCCTGCGGTTCAAAGAGCGCTTCGTGGTTCAAGGTTTGGGGGTTTTGGGTTTAGGGTTTAGGGTTTAGGGGTTAAGGGGTTAAGGGGTTAAGGGGTTAAGGGGTTAAGGGGTTAAGGGGTTAAGGGGCAACCTTCGTTTCAGCATGCTTCAGCCGACACTGTCCCTGCTAGCACCCGAGCACCACCAGAGGCCGAAGCTCTCAGAGCAGACATTGAACAGATGCGGAGCAAGGTGTGAAGGTATGGGCGGCCTCCCCTACAAACAGTGCAGCGCTGCCCGGACTCGCCAGACCCGGCCAGCCCGGGATCCTGAGCACGACGGATGGTACGTCTTACGACGAGCGCGGCTCCGGACTCCCCCAGCAGACGCCGTAGCCCATCTGCTCTGCTGTCATGCGCCGATCCCACAGCGCGTTGGCCCCAAGGGAGTTTCAGCACAGCTGTGCCCCACACCCGGCCAGCGGTGTGAGGGAGGTTGGCAGCGGCGGGGATGCAACCTCCCCTGGGTAGGGCATGGTAGGAACAGAGCATGGAACACAAGTTGGACAAGCTTTGAGCACATCCCAGCTTCACTCTTGCTCTCACCCAGCTGAGAATGTTATGCACCAAAGCACAGGCTCAAACACGATCCCTGCATTTGGCAAACATCCACGTGCCTGACGCTACAATCATTGCCCAAGAGCTCTTGGGACCTTGCGGCTCTGGAAAGAACACGCCGATGCCAGTCATCTTGGTCCCAACTTCTGCATCCGGCCAGTATATCCTACTTACCCTCTTTAACCGGCTTACATATACATCCGAATCCACTACCTTTCATCACCTCGCAAGCACACCCCTAAACCCTAAACCCCAAACCCTGAACCCTAAACCCTAAACCCCAAACCCAGTGCCCAAGTACCTGTCAGCGCCGCCGCCACGTTTAGGAGCATGGCACCCAGCTCCTGCCATGCCTGCAGAAGGCACCTGAGCAAGGGTTTAGGGTTTAGGGTTGAGGGTTCAGGGTTCAGGGTTCAGGGTTTAGGGTTTAGGGTTTAGGGTAGTAAGGGTAGTCGGGTTGGGGTCAGCAGCAGGGGCTGTGGCGTTTGGGGGCTCGTGGCTTGTGGCTTGCACTGCAGCATGTTCATCTCAGGCTTGTTTAGCCTAAAAGCCTGATTAGGTGCATGGGTACGAGTGGCTCGTGAGAGTGACTCTTGCTGCTCGGCTTCTGCGGTTGGGCACGTTGGGTGTCGGGCATCTTGCTGCAACTGCCATTTGTGTCGGTCCAAAAAACATGTGCAGCAACAAGATATGTCTGAACCCTGAAAGTCGCACACATCCAATAAGATGCTGCTTGCAAGGATGAGCCCTTTACCTTGATCTGCCACCTTGCCGCCTGAAATTGAGAGCCTAAGCCCTGTACCTTCAAAGCCTCCAGGAGCCTCTACATGCACGAACATGGTTGATTTAGGGTTTAGGGTTAAGGGTTTAGGGCTTTGGGTTTAGGTTTAGGGTTTAGGGTTTAGGGCTTCGGGTTTGGGGTTTGGGGTTGAGGGATCCACGAATGCTCTGCCCCAGATCTCCCAATGCTCGGCGCCTGCTGCAGGCCTGCGTCTCCTTGCTCGAGGCTTCACCTTGCCGTCCATGGTGGTTCGGGGTGTACGCTCATGATGGCAACGAATTATAACTTGCGACGTATTCCGTGGGTGAACTGCCATCCCATAGGCCTTGCCAGCCTTGTCTGAAACCCACGATCCCGCCCAGCACTAGCAAAGCCGACAGCGTCCTGAACTCACCAATTCCAATGAAGAACCGCCTCTCTTTGTTCCAAAACCTTGAAGCCCGAAAGAACCCTGGACCTTCACGGCCGTTGAAAAGTCTGTCAAACGTGAGAGCTCTGAGCAAAAATAGTCCGGTTCCAAGCCGAAAATCCCAAGTGACCCGGACCTGCCCCCTCAGACGCAAAGGCGACCAGGAGCTGCTGTAGAGCGGAACGCGCCTGGTGAGTTGAGACTTTTTCTCGTCATCAGTTGATGTGCCTGCGAACAAAGGTTCGTACAAAGGTGGGAATGCATCGCAGGTTGGGGAACTTGGAAACCGCGAATGCACGCTTCGCAGAAGCGGCTTGGGCAAAAACCGTGCACCTCACAAATCTCCTGCTTTCTAGAGTGCCATCTCGAGAGAATGCGTCTAGTACTTCGAGTGCAGTCTTTTAAACAGAGATAGACAGAAATACCCTGCAAGCGTCCAAAGACCTGACCAGACAAGAAAGATTCTATACTTGTCGCTTCTGACAGTGGAACGCTTTCTTGTGGGCATCCAACGAATCAACACCAGTCCTTATTTCAATGTATCTGCGTGGAAACCATGTCTTCTTTTCCGATCGTTGATTCGGCGACCAAGGGGCGTGGTGAGCGTCTCGGATGTACAGCTGTGGCAGCCGCTTCATGAGAGGCCGGTTTGTAGGGCAAGAACCAAGGACTATCATGGGCAGTTCTGAAGTCTGAAGCAGGGACTCGTGATAGTCAGCGGCTTCGGGCCACACGACCACGGAGGTGCCTCGCGTTGGAGGCCGTTGCCTGCTGCATTGAGCGCCTCCGAGGCCCGCGTCGCTGCGCGCAGGAGGAGGTCACCTGGGGCTGAGGCATCGGTCAGACTCTTGAGGGCCAACTGAGGGGGCTTTAGGGGATCGCCGCTGCCTGCTTTTGATCAGTTTTGCAGGGGTCCAAGCGAGAAAGCGCAATGAGTTCCTCATCACATCTGCCGGAGCAGCGTTTCCGTGCACGGAAACGGCGCCCCGCTCTGATCCCACGTCGTATGTCGCAGGGCTAAGGTGCTTTGTGAGTGATGACGGGTTGACATGACCCGTCTTGCATTTGTTCCAGCGAGGCCCCAGGCCGGAGGCATGTTGGGTAAAGAAACGATCCACCTCCTTTGTCCCCCTCTCTCACGCTCCCGGCACCAGAAGCCAAAGTGCCGACCCTGTGTTTGGTCCTTGGCCCTGGCGAGAGTTGGTGCAGAATCCCATGGCCCCTCTGGACCACCTGTGCCCCACCCCCCGACCGACCGAACAAGCTGATGGACCCCTTAAGACTTTGCGTGGACCACCTTGGAGCCCCACTGTGAATGGGAAGCTCCCCCCCCCCCACGAGCGTCCCCTTGCCCTCTTGAAAGTCTCTTAGGAATCTTCTGCCGGCACTTGGCTTCCGAGGTCTAACAGGCTTGGGCTTCGCCCCACCCCTTGGGGTACTTCGGGGCGGGGCTTGGCGTGGCAACGGGCCGTTTGGCCGCAAAGCTGGGCCCGAAGAAGAGTTTCTGGGAGATGAGGCATGGCTAAGGGTGTTTACGGGGACTGCAACCGGAAGATCCGGAAGCCGAAAAGTTCAGAAGGCTTCTTGACAGCCACAAAGTGTTCAAGCTGCGACTTGAGAGTCGATTGGAAGCTTGTCTCTGCTTTTAGCGCACAAGGCATCATGGCCACAACTCAATCCGGCCCCAATCCTGCAAAACCTTGTCGCGGACCCCCCTTACAAATCTTGCTACTGAGCCGCAGGTCGTCAGCTGAGCGTTTGAGCGCTGTTCCGCCGCTGGGAGTTCCTCCTGGGTTGAGGGGTTGCGGGAGCAGGTTCAAGCGTTCTTGGCGTGTATTGCCTTATGAGGCACTTCATGGCCCGGGGTGGGCAGGATGGCTTATCGTTTAAGGTTTGGCATTTGTTAGGAGTGCGGGACGGTTTCGGTTTAGGCCGACGGGAAGAACTTGCCAACCAAGGCAGGCCCGGACAACCCTAAACCCTAAACCCCTAAACCCCTAAACCCTAAACCCTAAACCCTAAACCCTAAACCCTAAACAGCCTTAGGATTGCAGTCTGAGGGGCGAAGAGGGCCTTTTGGCCAGGTCAAGAACCAGAAGACGAGTATTTGAAGTGGATTCTTAGAAAAAACTTCTCTGAAGAGGCAGCAGCGCCACGACTTAGGTTTCACCGGCACGCAACTCAGCCCGAAAACGAAACCCTGAGAGCCAAGCGTGAAAAGGCCTAACGATCGATGTCTGTACCGACGCCTTGTCTTCTTCGTCTCATTTGCTTTGAAAAACACAGAGAATCATATCAAAAAAGTTATCACAAAAATCCCATGAACAATAAAAAGTAAATAGACTTCGCAGACCTGCCTTCAGCAGCCTCTCCCGCCGCGGGCTCCGCGGCACCAGGGCCTCTACCGCTTCGAGGACTCCTCGCCGATGCGGCAAACTTGTTGCAACCCAAACCCTCAAAGCTTCAAGCCTCATAAGGGTGTTTCCGAAACTACGGGTACCTCATTGGGGTCCTTATTGTAGGGGGAATTTATACTATTTGGCGGTCTATATTAGGAACCCATAAAGTTCAGAGAAGTCTAAGCTGTAAGCTAAGTTCAAACCTGCAAACTCCAGTCTTCGGGATTTTGGGGGCTTCGGCAACCTGTCTCTTGGTCCAAGTCAGATCCACTTCGGCTGACCTGGAAAGTCCATGGCGACATGGCTTGGGATCTTACAACCCGAAGATATTGCCGTGGCTGAGAGGTTGATCTGGGTTCTTGACAGTCCACAAGCAGCCTTACACGCACATTGATCCACACTTGCCTCTGTCGGCACTATTTTCCACGAGGGAATGGCGAACAAGACGAAATGGTTTCTTGCACGTACGTGCTTCAAAGGTTGGGAAGTTCTGCAGCGGACATCACCGAACTGGACATTGCACATGCTTCATTGATGATGCGCACATGTTGGCCAACTGCCTCACACAGTGATTCAGCTCATTGCAACACGTGGTTCCACAATGTTCCACATGTTGCAACACAAAGGCGTGCGCGTGCAGGCGTGCGCATGCAAGCGTCCGCATGCAGGCGTGCGCGTGCAAGCGTGCGCGTGGCAGGCATGCGCGCAGGCGCGGTCGAGCAAGCATATATCTATATATACATACATACATACATACATACATACATACATACATACATACATACATATATATATATACCGTATATACCGTATATACCGTATATGCCGTATATACCGTATATACATATATCTTCTTATTCTCAACTGTATCTGCATAAGATTTATGTTCCTATGAATATTTGTAATTCCATGTATGAACTGGTTGCTTTTTTGATCTACATGTACATTTAATTGTGATCGGAAATCAAGTCGGGACGGTCGGCTCTGAACTGAAGCCTTGAAGCTCAGAAACAGAATCGAAAAGCCTCAAATTCCAAATCAAACCCACATCGGAGTCACTCTGAATTGAGAGCAACATTCTGCCCTAGCGGTTGTGCCTGATCCTCAACCTGAAACCCACAACATCCACCACTTAACACTTGCCAGGCTTGCCGAAACGAAGGAACCCTAAACACTAAACCCTAAACCCTAAACCCTAAACCCTAAACCCTAAACCCTAAACCCTAAACCCTAAACCCTAACCCTAAACCCTAAACCCTAAACCCTAAACCCTAAACCGACAAAGGTAAGGCAATCGGCCCTGCTGGGTGGCGCGAAGGCGGCGCGGGAGGCCATTGGTGCTGCGAGTTGCCCCAGAATTGGAAGGTGAAGCTGGGGGCTGAAGGCCCTAAACCCTAAACCCTAAACCCTAAACCCTCTCGGTGTAGGAGGTGAGGGTCTAGATGGTCTCGGGCTGAGCAGGGCTTCAGGTGCTTGGGCCCATGCAGCCTTACTGGCAAGCCCAGAGCCCTGGATTGTCGAATGAATCATAAACCCTAAGCCCTAAACCCTAAACCCTAAACACTAAAGGGTTGAAACAGCTGGCAAGAGATGCCACATATAACGCTGTCTGTAAGTTGAGTCTTGAATCCTTGCTGCAGCAGTGGCGACTACAACGTGACTACAATCGCAAGCACGATATTCGCAACGTTTAGCCAAAACACGTTCGTGCGTGTGGCTCGGTGGTAGTCCATTAAGAATCCGTGAGCTCTTTTTCGAGCGATGCGGCGTGCACTGAATGCGCCTGCAAGGTCTAGGCTATTCATGTCTAACCTAAACAAGACAGTGTCACATTCAGCCTGGGGTATGTTAATACCCCACACGCTGTACAAGACCTTCTTTGAGGGCTTGAGGCATCAAAGGCATGAAGATACAAGCACGAGGTCACCCAGAAGCCCAAACTGCTTGGTTGGTACTAGTTCTCCTGGATGCCCTCGAGCTCAACCTTGTTTGCTCACTAGGGTTTAGGGTTTAGGGTTTAGGGTTTCGGGTTTAGGGTTTAGGGTTTCGGGTTTAGGGTTTGGGGCTTAGGGTCTCGTTAGGGTTGGAAAGGGTGCATCCGATATCCAAAGTGCAAGAAAACAAGTTGCCCGAACTCCGCTGGATGACAGAAGGAGCACGTTGCTCAGGCGCCCCAAAGTCTGACAGGTAGAGCCACAGTTTGAGCCCTTGACCTGAGCTCAGATTGGGGCGTCTTCTCGGATTCAGGGCAAGGCAGGCAAGGCCGAAGGAGTATGCGGAGAATGCTCCTCCCAAAAAACATCCTAAAACCCATCCAGGTTGCCTTGCGCACTTCCACCTTGTGCTCGAGGTGACGCGCGGACAGAGATCTTGGCTTTCCGAGCAATCATGTACCTTGCGGGCTTGGCATGTAGATGGGTCTCCTTGTAAACTGAGGCGTTAACGATACCGCAGCGACCAACAGTCACACAGAAAAATCTCTCTTGCTCCTCGTGCGACACCTCCACTCCCCGGCACCACCCCACTCCCCTTACGCCCCCCGACTCTTCCCCTCACTCCCTTGCACTCCTTTCTTAATCCTTTCTACGCTTCACGGTCCTTTGAAATCCCATCATAAACTCTTCTGAACCACTGATTCTAATCCCTTCCTAGCCCCTTCTACTTCTGCACTCTGCTTAGATCCATACTCCTTCCTTCCATCGCTTCATAATTCATAGACATTGCACTTCGGAGGATACGGCACCCCAAAGCAATCCAAAGAACATCCGGGGCACCTCCTCGGGTCGTCCAGCATCCTGAACCACACCGTCTGGCGGAGGTAGGTCTCTCCAAGCTCTGGATTGGCAGTTGCCTCTTCCGCATATCTCCTCACTCCTGGGGGGTTTTTGTGGGATCCTGATAGGCCCTCAACCCAAAAGTACCACGCACGTGGGGGTTTCGGGCGAGGGGCTTTCTCAAGTTTCGGGCCGGGCCCATATGAGCCCAAGGCACGAGAACGGACAGACTCCCAGTCTGTGGGACGGATAAACCTCCGCAGTGTAGGCATGCAACCTCCCTCCGACGTCTCCGCGTACTTCAGGTGCACCTGGATCCAAGCCGGAAGTCCATATGTGAAACTTCTATGATTTGGGCTTTCAGGCGGGCCTCCCCAACTCCCCAACTCAACACGCAAGGCCCTCGACGAAGGGCTACACTCGCCAACATGCAGCTTAGTTAGGATCGAGGGTAGCGGTAGTGTGAAGAAGGGCAGGCTCGACTTTGTTGGGGACAGCTTCGGATTCAGGGCCCCAGCGGAAACTCAGCGGAAACTCAGCGGAGTGCAGCGCCTGGCACACATCCTGGTGGCGCTTTGTGGCATCAACGAGGAGCATCATCTCAGCGAGCTGCGGAGTCTGTAACCAAGTGCACCCTGAGGTGCCAGAATCGGACGATGGAGCTTGGGACCTGTGCCTCACCAGTCGCTTGAGCAACTGCTGCGGGATGTCTTCCGCCCGTGCGTCAGGCAACACCTGGATCTCTGTATCCTGCTTCATTGCAAGTAGGTGGTAATCTTCCCCTGAGCCGAAGAGGTTTGACAGAGAGACGTGGAAAAGGTCGACGCCCACGCGGCCCACACGTGTGCTGGCCTTGCCTTGCAAAGATGCACGAAGGCATGGTGGCATTCCGTGATACATGTCCGGATTAATACAAGCCTTTGAAGATGTTGAAATGAAGTCACGGAAGCGGGCCTTTTCCTCCTCGGAGTCTACAAGCAACTCCATAAAAGGCTTGTTCTGGAAGTCTGCATTGGTGGACAGAATCTGATTCAGGCAAGCACCAGGGCCTTGAATCCTGAGCTGCCCATCGAGCAGGATCTCTCCATCGCAGATGCCGCAAAGCATTCTGCGGAAGCCAGCTAACATCTTCTCGGCGTCATCGGACCTGAACTGCGCAGCCAAAGTCTCCCTCATGTAGTACGCCAGGGAGATGCTCAGCAGAACAGAACCGCAAGCCACAAAGCACTCAACAAATGCATATGCCATCATGTTTGCGCTGGGCCCATGAATCATCAGCTTCACCAGGACATCGGTCACTGACATCGATATCTGACCGACGGTATGAATGCGGGGCTCAACATGCAAAGCCACCATACAAAGTCGAAAGACGGCATTCAAGGTTTGCATGACAGCCACGTCAGATAGCTGCATGTGTCTTGTCTCCAGGGTCTCTGCTATCCCGATTGAAAAGAGGATGACAAGGTAGAGCCGTATGTGAACGGATTGCCACTTGATGAGTCCGTGAGCAGCACTCACATGCACCACGTAGGCAATGCTGGCCCCAAGTCGTATCAATCTGGTGCCATCCACGTACAGCAATACGCAGATTGCCATGCAGACGCTATGCTGCAGGAACTGGCTCGCAAAGACGAAGTTGTTTTCCATAAGGTGCCTCGGACATGATTCTAATCCTAATTGTCAGTTCTCAGAAGCCTTAGGAGGTTCCAACCCTAAACCCTAAACCCTAAACCAGTGAGATTGCTGGGATGGTACTCCATGGCCGCACTCACTCGTGCCGTCTGAGGGCTGCTCGCGAACTCTCCGCGGATGGCCTTCCTTAGTGGCCCAGCTGATGGATCCTCTTCAACCAACACACAAGGGTTTAGGGTTTAGGGTTTAGGGTTGAGGGTTTAGGGTTTAGGGTTTAGGGTTTAGGGTTTAGGGTTTAGGGTTTAGGGTTCACAAAATCAGCACCAACCACAAGACTGCGCCGACCAGCGGCGCAGCCCCAACCCATCAATGAAATGTATGGCACTAAGAGCTTCTCAGCTACACCTAACCACGCGAAGCATCTGAAAGCATGTGGCAACTCTGGTGCACACATATTTCGTGTTGATGAAACCTTGGTTCTTCGGTTCTTGCTAGGTCCTTGGGAACAAGTGTTGCTGGGGGGCTTACAGTTTCGGGTTCAGGCATGGCTTTGAGATTTATTGTAGATACGTTTTGTTCTGGAGTTCTTGAGTTTACCAAAAAGATCAAAACTCAACAGTTCTAAAGACAGAATGAGGGACCATGAAGTGTAACAAGCACAATGGCCCAGGTGAGCGCATCACTGCAGACCGCCCACATCACACCGGCTCTTGCTCTGCCCTGATCTTGAAATATGGGGCTTCGAAACACAGAAAGGTCTTGCGCAAAGAAGGATCAGAAGATGCTTGTCGGAATGTCAGAAGCAGAGTTCCTTGCTTGTGGGATGTTGAGCCTCTGAGTTATCTCATCCCGTAGGGCACTTTCCAGAACTGGACATTCAGGAAGCTCGGGGCTTCAGGATGAGAAGTTTCGGCAGTACTACATGAGTTTAGGGTGAAATTGTACAGCTGCTGCAGGGATCCAGGCTCGTTTAAGGAGATGCCGCACACACACACACACACACACAGACAGCACGCATGCCAACAGACAAAAGAGGCAGCTTGGGCTTTGGGCACGTTTAGGCGCTAGCTAGCGAGATTCACTATTCTTCTGTACGTGCACCATCCTGGCTGGTGGGATGAGATTCGGCACCCTTGCCTAGAGCCATACTGATCGGGTAGATATGAGAGTACAGCCCGGCCCGGTCTATTTGGGTTCTCTAAGACTGGGGAGGCTGGCAACAAGGTTGCGGAGAATTATGAAGCGAGCACGTTGCGGAAACAGTCACCTCCTTTTCATGCCAGCAGTAGGCCCAATTCCAGTCGCATGCATGTCGCACCAGAGTGCTTCTCCGGGGGCATGCATAGGTAGAAACAAGGAGGTGGTGAGATATCGGACGATTGTGGTCTTGCTGCAAGCGCGGCTTGTGAAATGCTCGGGTGCGCTCTACAGTACGTGACAAAAACCTCTCTATTGTGCAGCACGAATCGGTACGCTGCTAGATGAGTTCTCAACGTTGTGTTGCCTGCCCAAGTAGTTCAGCTGTTCTCGCCTCGGTTTCCATGACATCCATGGCCGAATTGGGGCGTCGTACCTTCTGAGAGATCCAAACTCCAAAAGGTTCAGGGTCAGTTGGTGAGTCATCAGGCGTCAGTAAGTGCGCCGATGAGCGTTCGGGATTTGGGCTTAGGACTGCTGTTGGATTCGATAATTCGATAGGAAGCTGATTTGAAGTTGATACTCCTCACGTGCGACTTAGGTTGGGGAAGGGAGCTTTCGGACTCAATTTGTTAGGATGGCACATGACAAGGTGCATAAGGGTGACGAGAATCTCGAAGTCTAAGCCAGCTCCCTCTTCTGCTCAGGCTCTCAGGACTTCCGGTCCGTGCTTCACCAAGGAAAGGCTGTTTTAGGCTTTCGACGTGTCGAGGAGTCGTAGGGCACGCCGTAGGGCTACACTCTGGCGTTGGTAGAATACGAAGACAGCTCCAGGTGCAGATGAAACCTGGTAAAACAAAACAGGCCAAATCTGCCAAAGCAAAAGACTACATGGCAGGGAGACGACAACGAGAAAGGAAAGACAACAGCAGAAAACAAACTCACTCGCAGAAAACACACCAGTAAGGAAAACACACACAAGCATGAAAAGAAAAATACACGAGATGCCGAGGTTCCCCAGTAAGCTACTCTGAGCCGCAAGCTGATGCCTTTGCTCCAGTTCTTCAGAGAACGAAAGGCCTTCACAGTGCGAGTTCTTGGCAGGGAAGTAAGGACCCTTTTTTAAGGGGACTTTTTAAGGGCACCTCATTCCCAAGATCCCTGCTAAGAACCCGTAAGGACTATCGGCGAAGTTAAGGTGTCGAGCACTGTTCTAGCTACTAGCTTGGGGGCAACTGTAGAGGAAGGAGCTGAGTTGAGACTGGAGCTGACACACTGGGAGGCGATGTATTTGAGCACTTCTGGTGGTTTGGGAGCCTCAGGCCTAGGCCTTGAGGACTTTACGTACTTGGGACTTTGGGGCTCGGCGGGTTCTGGAGCTTTCGGGGTAGGATTCGACCTTCCGAAACTCCAAGGTTTCAACAGCACATCTTGCATGCCAAACACTTCAAGAAGCCATCATGCAGAACCTCCTTTAGGGTTTAGGGTTTAGGGTTTAGGGTTTAGGGTTTTGGGGTTTAGGGTTTAGGGTTTAGGGTTTAGGGTTAAAGGGTTAAGGGTTAAGGGTTAAGGGTTAAGGGTTAAGGGTTTAGGGTTTAGGGTTTAGGGTTTAGGGTTTAGGGTTTAGGGTTTAGGGTTTAGGGTTTAGGGTTTAGGGTTTAGGGTTGAGGGTTTAGGGTTTAGGGTTTAGGGTTTAGGGTTTAGGGTTTAGGGTTTAGGGTTTAGGGTTTAGGGCTCAGGGTTTAGGGTTTGGGGCAAGTGTGGGGCAATTTCCTGGGGCTCTGGCAGTGTCAGATCCTTCTGCGCGTATCCGAAGTACACGCCCCCGAACTTCTTCGTCGCTGGGACCTAGGGCCCCAGAGCTGTTCAGGATAATCGTGGTTTGGGGTTTAGGGTTTAGGGTTTAGGGTTCAGGGTTCAGGGTTCAGGGTTCAGGGTTCAAGGTTCAGGGATGTTCAGGGATGTTTGGGGGATGTTCAGAGGGTTAAAAATCTACACAAGGCGCTAGAGACTCGAGAGCTGCGCGCTCGACGCATTTTTGCTTACCAGGCCCTACGATGGTTGGATGTGCGTACGGAAACAAGAGAACTTGGTGTGTCTGTGTGCATGCACGTCGTACCTGAAGCCTGCGTCACCGGTTCACAAAAGGTTGTTCATGCACGTGCACAGAAGACCTCGTTAGATCTGCTGCAAGTAGAACTCTCTGTGCGTGGCATGGCTACCCTGGACAAACATCATAGCAGTCCAAAGGTGTCTTTCAGTTCGTACTACCGCTGAAACAGCATCGAGTCTAGTTGGGAGCACAAGTTCATGCGCGAAACAACGAACTCGACAGCCAGATCTTCCCTGCTCGCGCACAAACTACGTGTTTGCATTGGAGCGGGACTCCGAAAGCTCGACAATTGCCGCGGGCTTCAAAAGTGCTCGGGGCCTAAGGCGCCCCTCGCATAACTTATGAAGAAACTGGCTCCCAGAACCTCACAACACACCAGCCCCTGGCAGGAAGGCAACTGTACGCAGATTGGCCTTTGCATTCCCAATGCGGTCGCTGCGAAAGTGGGAACTTTCCAGAGACTCCGGGTTTGGGGCACTAGAAGACCTTGCCAAAGCGTTGTTCCTACGCTTGCGTTATCTTGCGTTAATTGTTGTGGTTCTTATTGATGGCTTTGCAGCAGGCCCCTTATTTGGCTTTCACTTGCCAAAGACCCTCAACAGATCCACATGTGTGAAGACCATCCTTATGGTTTACCTGCTCAGTCGTGGCGAGATGCTTGCCAACAAGCGACCCATCAAGACGGAAACGCCTCAGCAAGGAGTTCAGGACATCTACTTGCAGGGCCCCGGCATGAAAAGCAATGTAGCCAGGCCAGCTCAGCGATCTCAGCGTGACCAGGGACTTGGTGGGGTCCTGGCAGCCGGATTAATATCAACAACCTCTGCCTAGGTTGAGAATTACGGGGAAAGGATGAAGATGCTCATGAGCATGAGCCTTCGATAGCTTCACTCCAGGGCACCCTGGACATGAAGCCTGCTGGTAGGCTCCTCTGTTTCGCCAAAACTCAAAAACCTTTGGAACTGCCGAAACCGAGGCCGCACCCAGCAACTGTGCACCACCCCCAAATGCCCCCTTCCCTGAACCCTCAACGAGGCCTTTCGAAGGGCCCAGCTGCCCTTTGGTTGGTCGCCATCCAAGCCGTCAAGGATCTGCGAGCTGTAGACCTCTACACGAACTCGATCTTTGCATAGAGCTCTGGCTTCAGACGTGCTTCAGGATTTAGATTTCTTGTGCCCAGTCTGAGCAGGGCCATCGTCTTGAGCTTTAGCCAAATTTCAATCTACCACACATTGCTCAAGGTCTCAGCGCTACCCCCGAATGCTCGCTTATGGGCCCTGGATTCTCAGATGTTGCCTGGGAGTCAGTGGCTGTTGATTTGTCCACAGAATCCCACCTCAATTCAGGGAGTTCGTAACCCTGAACCCAGACGCATCCCACCCTTCGGCATTGCCTGCGCATCCTTACGGGCCAGCGTGCGGAGTGCGGCAATGCCTGAGAAAACATTCGAAGCGTTGAAAGCAATGTACACCCACCGAAACATGAAACGGATGCTTCTTGGAGACACTCACTGCTGCTGTGTCCACGCAGCAACACACGAGCAGTATCACTCGTGCGAATACATATGGAATCACGCCATGAGAAGCAGGCAACAGCGGCAAGCTGATACAAGTAGCAGCAGCAAGCTGAAAACAGTGCACGCACTCACAGCCAACAACTGCTACAAGCCTTTCACTGTACTGACATAGCTGCAACCACATCTGCAACGGGGACTGCTCGCACCCATGCGCAAGACGAGCGAGATCGATGACAGGCCCTTGTCTTTCATGTCATAAAGCCGCCAACGAACCAAGCACTCCTCAACCCCCCCCGCGCCCTCACCCCACTCAAACTCCCACCGAAAACCGACTGGAGCTCTAGGACGCTTCGGACACTCCAGGACGCTAGGCTAAGGATTGTAAGGATTTACGGGCTTAGGAACCCTAAACCCTAAACCCTAAACCACGAACTTCTGGGGTCCCAGCCGACCGGCGCGCGGAAGTGCACGAAACTTGTCAGTGCCAAGGCGTCCGCTTCTCCGAGCCCTGTTGCATTCGGCGCAATATGTAAGGTTTGGGTGAGGCTTGCGATTTAGGAAAACATCCAAGCATCTTTTTGGGGCCTTCGCAATTTGGGCTGCTCAGGTTCAGCTCGCTTGCCACCCGAACACTCCGAGAAGGCGCCTTTGAAGTCCTGTGCAGGCATGATGGCGTGGCTCTCGTCAACGCAATAGGCACCTGGCGAGGCTTAGCGAGGAGGAACTGGCTGGGGCTTGAGGCTGTCGATTCTTCCGGCGGGACCAGGGGGGAAAAGTAACCCAACACATCAACAGAAGTGATCCCGCTTGGGGGGGGGGGGCGCTTGGAAGTCGTGCGGTCGAGGGTAGGTGTGCCAAAGTGGGGATGGCCGGCGGGGGAGACTCATGCTGAACCCCGCAAAGACGCCGACTTGGCTGTCGAGCGAATACGCCGCAAGTGCCGCGAAAAGTGCTTTGCAAGAGGGCCGGGTGGTCATCAGGGTCCATCTGGCCCTTCCAGCAACTTTAGCTTAGGATCCCTAAACCCTAAAACCCTAAAACCCTAAAACCGTAAAACCCTAAAACCCTAAAACCCTAAACCCCTGAAACCCTAAAACCCTAAAACCCTAAAACCCTAAACCCTACTACGACACCCTCTCACGAGCCCCTCCTCGCGGGACGCAGGAAGTGTCGAAGTCGATCTCTGCCACCAGCTGGGCCAGGCGATCGGCCTTCGACTCTTCAGGTTGCTTCGAAGGCTTCGGCTTTGGGGCTTGCCGGTGCTTTTTGGGGGGAAAGGGGTCCGAACCCCCACCCGAACCCCCAGGGTCGCGGGCACATGGGGGGGGGATCCTCATCCACCACCGAGCCCTTCGACCAACCACCTGAACCTAAACCTTCTGCCATCTTCAAGTGGCAAGCCATGGCCTCGCTGAGCTTCTTCGGACCTTCGGGAACAGGCCTCAGACACGGAGTTCACGAGCTCCAGGGTTTCGGTGTTGAGCGTTAGGGCGGTTAAGGGGGGGGGTTCTGCAGGGGTTCTGGTGTGGTTGAGGTCGAAGGAATCGGCGTTCATCGACTCCATTGCGTCGAGAAGACAGAAACCACTCGGCGAGACCCCAAATCATCCCCACCTCCTCCTGTGCTGAGGAACTGCCTTGGGCAGAAGGGTATGAACATGCTGAAACCTGGCTTCTGACAATGACTTGGGGCTGCACTGACCTTCCGGATCGTCTGCTGGTGGCTCCTGTTGGGAGAGGGGCTTGGGGTTTGCTTTACATTGACACTTTATGGTTGACGACCGACGCTGAAGAGGGTCCCTTTTTGAGAGTTTGGGGAAACCCACACACAGGAAGCCCAAAAAGGGGAGGCGCCTGCCTGAAAACCCCAGTAAGAAACCTACTCAAGACTCCAACTCCAAAACGTCCCACCCTGAATCCGGAATGCCTTTGCTCGCGACACACAGTCCTTTAGGCTCCGGCTACTTAAAAGCCGTAAGGAAAGCCATGCGCAGCCCTACCACAGCTGCTCCGCCTCTTCGGACGGCGGCTCGAGCAACGTACCTTAGTTCGCCCACTGGTCCGAAGCGACTGCCTTTTGCCTTCTTTGTTGATGTCGGGTTTGAGGCGGGACAAAAACAGCCAGCCCCGCTCCCTCTTCCCCCTCCGCACGATGTTCGCATTGCTATAACTTGCTGCTCCACTTGGGCCTCTGGTCGCTGAGCTTCTCGGGTCTGGGGCCGACACTGGCCACGCCGCTCAAGGGCTTGTCGCCGCAGAGCTCGGCGATCCGAGCCGCCTCCTCGGACAGGGCAGGGTGAACAGGCAGGTTGCGCAAAACACTGCGGGAAAACCCATAAAAAGGACGCATGGCGGGGGGTGCTACCTGGTAATCGCAACATCTCGAAGATCCCAGAGCTGCCTGTTCTGAAGTAAGCATGTCCAAGTCCAAATCCCTCGAAAAATCCCCAGCAACATCTAGAGGAGAACAGAGCTGCCTTTCCTGAAGTAAACAGGTCCAAATCCCTCGAACCCTCCCCAGCACCCAGGCCTCCGCGGTCGGAGTCTGCAAGGGCTGAAACCTTGAAGTCAGGATCTCTAAAGGAGGTTAAGCCGGTCAAGCTCGGCTTGCGGATTCAGGACTTCAGGACCGCCACTACTCTTTCCTAGCGCTCAAAGAGCCGACGCGAGACATACCGGCCAAAGCCAGGGCCCAGCCTAAAGCCTTTTTAATGCCGTGTGAGCGGCTGGAAATCTTTCCCAGCGAAGTAGAAGTGCTTCGCGGGGAACTCGAAATTTCCGGCACGGAGTCCATAGGCCTTGCCCAGTGGTCTTTGGAACGCTGTTCCGGGCTACGGACACGCCAATCCCAAGACTGGATGGCTCTGCATCACCGTGTTTTGCACAACAGATAAGGCAGGAGCCACATAGTAGTCTGCCGACAGGCCGAAGACCTACCACAGGCTGCTGCGAACACGTAGAGCTTCCACAGCAGGTCGCATAGCACGTCGCAGTGAGCAACCCTAAACCCTAAGCCCTAAACCCTAAACCCTAGCTGAGCAGAGCTGAGCTCATGTGCTGCATTTCTCAAGGCCTTGCCTTGCCCCAGAAGCAGAGATGCGGAAACTGCTCCTGGCTCTTCAGAAGCGCTAGCCTGAGTCTGCCAGGCCATGCCCCAGGCCTAAGGGTTTAAGGGTTTAGGGTTTAGGGTTGAGGGTTTAGGGTTTAGGGTTAAGGGTGTGTCAACATGTGTCAACCCATTTTGTTGGTTTGGGCCTCTGCAGTGGATGGGCGACATGGCCGGGATCATGTGCTTGCCAAATGGGTCCTACAAAGCACACCCCCAAATGCCAAACCCTAAAAACACCCAAGCCCCACGCCGAGCGCCAACGGCTCGATCTAAAACCTGCAGCTACGAGCCCAGAAACCTTCAACCACAGAATCCACAAAACCCTCAAGCCGCCGACAGCCCTCAAAAGCCACACCTCGCACTCGAAGCCAGAAGGCAGACAGCAGAAAAAATCTGGCAAATAGCCCGAAACCCTAAACCCTAAACCCTAAACCCTAAACCCTAAACCCTAAACCCTAAACCCTCCACTCAGCACCTGGCCCGGCTTGGATGCCTGAGAGTTCCTTGCCCGGTCGCGCTGGGCAGTCGGCATGGGTTCTACCTTTTGCCTTGTGTTGTGCTAACATGCAGAAACATCTGTATAGGGTTTAGGGTTTAGGGTTTAGGGTTTAGGGTTTAGGGTTTAGGGTTTAGGGTTTAGGGTTTAGGGTTTAGGGTTTAGGGTTTAGGGTTTAGGGTTTAGGGTTTAGGGTTTAGGGTTTAGGGTTTAGGGCCATGGGTGGCTGTCAAAATTACGGTCCCTGTTTGGATCCCTGTTATACTACGGCACCTTCTATTTAGGGTACCCCAAAAGGGATCATAAGTTTGACAGCCGCCCACATGTGTACCAACATGTCTTGATATGTTCTAATATGCACTACACAACATGAGTCATAAGCATGAAGATGTACTAATAAGTACGAGTTATGTACCAATATGCTTTCATGCGTACTAATGGGCGTTGACATGCACCTCGTCATGTACGACATGAAAGACATTGAAGGGATGCATGAGGATTGCGGGTTGGGAAACCGATCCACATGGGTTGATGCGTCAGCATCACTGTCCCTCATAGCTTACCGCGTCTGTCAAAGTGACCGGCGCTTGCAACGTCCTGTAACCGTCAGGCCTTGAGGGCATGAGGGCTCAACCTTCAAGACCCTTTAAACTCAAAACTGTCCTGGCAGTTCAAGACGTTACCGCCTGACGCCACATGCCTTGGAACAGAGCAGCAATGCGGGTGGTAACTGGAGGTTCACAATGCAGCACTTTGTGGACCTTCGTGGCACCTGGCCGTCTTCCACTTCTGCCAAGCCAACAGCCCTCGGTAGCGCTTAACGAGAGGCCTTCATGTCGGTTCCACATTCAGGTGTCAGGGTTTAGGGCGGCTTTGAGTTTCGTTTTCAAGTCTCTGAACGCCAGAAGCGGGTTCCGCTCGCACGTGCTTCCCAGGGGTCTCAAGGACGGGTTTAGGAGGTGAACGCAGGGCCCCTGGCGCTTAGACCGATCAAACCCAAAGAGGACGCCACTCACAAGCCAGAATCCCACAAATCCTATGCCAGGACAGAGGATCCCAATCACTGCTCCCAGAATCCCTCCAAGACCCCCACATCTAACTATGAACCTGGGTTGCAGAAAAACTTTCCAAGCTCGTTCAGTTTTACTCGTTTGTTGGGGGTCACCTGTTATTGTGTTCCACGCGGTGGTTCGGGGACATGTCGTAAAGTTAAAGCTTCTGGCAGCAAGGGCCCTTCAACCCAGGGAAGCAGGAAAGTTTCAGGCCTAAAGGGCCTAAAGGCTGAGGCTTTCAGGGCCTTTGGCTTCCAGAAAGCTTTGAGACGGCCAGAGTCCAAGAGAACCCCAACAGCATCAAGGCTTCACCAAGTTTGTTGGGGGGAGAGGCGCGAGACGAATAAAGGGAGCAGCATCAACGGTCTCATGAAAACGACATCACCTCAACGGATTCTGCTCTGGGGCAGCTACTGGAGACCCGTCTCGAGGTCGTGCAGCTCCATACCCCTTCCGCACCTCCAAAAGGGCTCTGGTGCGATTCGGATTCATATTTGCCACATCCGTCTTGGCAAGACAGCTTCTAGCTTGCAAGTTGCAGCCGTCGCTTGTAACAACACCTCACCTTCATCATTCATATATATGTCGTGCCACCCTTCCTGAAACCGCTGTTCGATGTCCAGAGAGTGGATGCTCATATCTCATGCCGGGTAACTTTCTGCGAGCAGTGCAAACGCAACAAAGTTCTGCAGTTAGTGGAAACTTGCGCTTGCCAATCCAAAACAGAGTTGGGGGAGCGGGAGCGGGAGGCACTCACAAACATCAAGGAGTGCAGCCCTAATTCGGGCATGTTAGTTCCGTCGGGCCCTGGCTGGAAAGTGGTTGAACCCAAACTTTGTAGTACCACATGCAGCAAGCCATAACTGACACCAGCCCAGGCCGTCATCCTGCCAGCAATAGTAGGGTCCATCCAAGTCTGAGAACCAAGCCCCGAATCCTAATGACCAAAACTCAGCGTGACCCAAGAAAGATCCAAACTCTGCTGAACTCCTTGGCCCTTGTCGCACCCCGGGAGAGCTTGAAAAACCAAACGCGGATCTATGGTAAAATGATACTGGACTGTTCCAACATCTACATACCAACAGCCACGGCAACGCAAAAATTACGAGTTTGACGCAAGAACTGAACCCTGAGCCCTTGTGTTTCACCGCAAAGGCACCTGGCGGCTCCCTACGCTTCGGCAGAGTTCTGAGCCAAGGGTGCAAAGGCGCGCTCTGCGTTTTCGACTTTCCCTGCCCTTCCCTCTCCCTCCCCCTCCCCCTGTCCCTCTCGTGTTCAGGATATGTCAAGCCAGCACAGGGTCTCCATGCCGGCAAAACCATTATATTGCACCCCACTACCGGCGTCATCAATGGACGTGGTTCCGAGCCGAGACATCATGTTTGGCTCTCAGAAGGTCGCAACGGAAGTTTTCAAGGGGGCTCCCCATCAAGGCCGCACTGAAGCAGCTCTGAAGCAGGGGGGCCTTGAAACATGTTTCTGCAGTGTTGGTAAACCCAACATCAAACCACATGTTCATGCCAACCAACTTCCCTCGGAATCTTGGATCCCCCTCCCACGGTCAAAGCCCAGCACACCAAAACGATCCCACGATGCCACCAACAGTTTTCCAGACGGACTTTTTCAGCGCTTCGGCCGGCCAGCAGCTTTCAATGAGCAGCCTCCGACCTCGAACCGCGGTTGCAATCATGCCCAAAGGCTGAGAGGGTGCTCTTGGTGTTGGGTTCTCTATGGTTTTCTTCAGGAAAGCATGAGCGATACCTGCTCAAATGTGCCCCAGATGCCGCACTTTTTTTGTGTAGGTGCTGATCCGGAGTCGTGCTGGAGACGACGCTCGAAAACCCTCAACACATGTACTGCGCATGTCCCCCCAGCTTCGGCCCGTCCAGCACAGTTAAACTCTGAACCTGCCTGTGAACCAGAGATATAAACGCATGGGGCCTCTTAGGCAGCCCGAAACCCGTCAATCGCCCACTACAAATCCAGGTACCCATGGCCATTTCGAAAAAGAAGGAGGGAAAGGGCCACAGCCAGAAATGAGGGCCCCACCCCTTGGCTGCCGGAGGCAACGTCTTCTTTGCCGGAGGCGGCATCTTCCATGGTGGCACCGGCACAGCCCCCGGCCCAGGGGGCACATCCGGTGGTCCAGGAGGCGCAGCGACCTCGATGGAAGGGGGGATTTGCGGCTTAGGGTTTAGGGTGTAGGGTATGGGTTTAGGGTTTAGGGTTTAGGGTTTGGGGTTTGGGGTTTGGGGTTTAGGGTTTAGGGTTTCGGGTTTCGGGTTTCGGGTTTAGGGTTTCGGGTGTCGGGTCTCGGGTTTCGGGTTTAGGGTTTAGGGTTTAGGGTTTAGGGTTTCGGGTTTAGGGTTTGGGGTTTAGGGTTTTAGGGTTTAGGGATCTCCATGAGACCTCCTGGCCGTCCGGAAGCCGCTCCGGAGGAGGCGGCGGCTGCAGAGCCTTCCCACACTCGGTGGACCAACTGTCGCGCAGTTCTTTTAATGTTGCACGTTTAGGGTTTAGGGTTTGGGGTTTAGGGTTTAGGGTTTAGGGTTTAGGGCTTAGGGCACCCCAAACAAACAAAAACAATGTTGAGATTCTTGGCTCACCCTCTATAAACGGGAACGGAGCCCGGTGGAAGGGGTCGAGGGTTGAGGGGAAGCCTGAAGCTTGAGGGTCTAAGCTTTCCAGTCTTTTTGGGCTCCCGGGCCAGGGGGGCTGCGGATTAAAGGGGGTAACCGAAACAACTTACTAAAAGCGATGAGGGCAGCTCGTGGGCTACTACTCCCTTGGAAAATTGTTTCGGGCCTGTTTCGGAATGACAATTTAAAAAGCAAGTAAATAACGCCGGACTCCAGAAAATTCCTGGGTTTCTTATTCAAAACTATTGCGAGTTCTTGGCTTTCCGGCCCGCCCTCGCCCTCCCCCCAACCCGCATAATTGCGGGTAACCTTGTCAATAGGGGCACCGTTCTATAATTTTTCAGAACTTCGCATAAAACCGGGCAACGATACTAAAGCGGCGGCAACATTCATAGCGAGAACGCGGAGTTTGCACGAAAGATGCGGCCTTTCCGGGAGTTGTGGCCGATGATGTCACGAGCCGCATGTCCAGCTTCCGATCTCCATGCAGATTCGCGGCCATGCGCGTTCAGCGTTTTCGTTGACAAGCCAACATCGTCACATAAAGGAACTGCCGACAAGAACCAGCTCGCAAGCAACTCCAAATCGGGGGATGCAACCCTATAAGTCCAGGACTATACCGTCCCATTGCTTTGGAAGTCTGGCACACTGTCATGGCTTCACTTTTTGGCCATGCCCTCGTGATGAACAAATATTAACAATAATACGATTACTAATATTCATAATACTCACAATCCTAATTCTATCTATATTATGAATATTTTAATAATATCAACATTATTGGCAGTAGTAATCATATTTACATTATTAAATAAAAAAATCATATTTTTTATTCAGATTCATAAGACTAAACTTCACGCAGCCGGGCCTGGCCGCTCAATATCTGCCGCAGCTGCACCAAAGATGCCTTCGGTCTCTCGGGGTGCCGTTTGCGAAGCGATTGAGAGCTTCAGGGTTTAGGGTTTAGGGTTTAGGGTTTAGGGTTTAGGGTTTGGGGTTTGGGGTTTGGGGTTTAGGGCTTGAGATAAGTGTGCGAGGTTAGGCATTGCAAAGTATGAATAGCTTCGTAGTGGCTACGCTTGGTGTCCAAAATCCTCGTTTCGTGCAGGCACCAGCACCGCATAGTACTGTCCACAGTTGGGAAATGACAAGCTGGCGACGTTGTTTTTTCAGACTGCGAAGCTTGTGGTATGACTCAAAGGCACTACGAGCCCCAACGCTGTAGCCGCAAAAAATGGCCCCCCCACCCCCAGGAGCATGTTATACCGTCTCAGACAAGAACCGACGCCCCAAACCTCTGAATTCGACAAGAGCTACCTTCAGTAGAGAAACTTAACAGTTGTTCAGGTTGTTCAAACTCAAATTTTAGACGTTGCAAGAGGGATCTTGAAAGTCAGTGGGTGGCGCTGATACCCCTTGACCCCGATGTGCAAATACCCAGTCCGCTCTCCCCATGCTCAGGGCGCCCTGGAGATGGTAGAAGACTCAACAAGGGCCGCTTTTTGCCAACGGGGGCTACTGACTTTGTCATGTCGATATCTTGCTCTTGAGGGACCTGGGACCTGCGGCCGTCGCTTCTGCGCTTCTTGCAAGGTCCCTGGAGCTCGTCTCATCAGTTTGTGCGGCTGCCCGCCGCTTGCTGAGCGCCCGTACTGGAAACTAGCAAGGCCATCCGGAGCTTATCCATCAAGAAATGCCGAGCCTGCAGTCTCCTAATACCGTAGGCAAACAGGCAAACGCGGAGCGCTCCGAAGTGAAGATGCCTTCCCCCCGCGGTAAACTCCAGCAGCGCTCTCCGGTGAAAACATGACGAACATGCTTGTGCTGCCACAGTTTTGATCACAGATCTTCTGAAACACAATGTTGTGGACCTGCCGGCCCGAACTTGGATCTCCAAAGATGTCCTGCGATTGGCAGAACAAAGCCGGTGAACATTGACCTCATAAACTTTATCTTTTCATGCACATCATGCCATGATAGGTATCTACAGGTTTATCTCGCTATGTCTTTCAGTACTTGCATGACATTCTTTCTTTCTGTCGTTCTTTCTTTCTTTCGTGGGGCAAGGGGGAAGGTTCAAACAAGTTGCTTCGCGCCCTACCCGTACCCCCTTCACCGCCACGCTTTCCCCCCCTGAGCTCTGAATCTCTCATGAATGCCCCAAAGCATCAGCGTCGGGGATGTGCACAGCGGGCCCTTTCCTCTAAAGTATCCTCGCTGCCCGCCCAAGCAAAAGCATGAGAGGCCGGAATCCTCTATGGGAAGTCAACCTTGAGATGCCCAGCCCACAAGCTCTGCGTGCTCGACGCAAACACCAAAAAAAAACCCACCCCAAGTCCTAAAACAAGAAGTGCCAAAGCCTAAGACCGAAGCCTTCATAAGACTCTTCACTAAGCCCCCTCCTATTCAGTTTCTCTTGCCAGCCAGGTGCAGCCGGGGAATTTGGGGAGGTGGCCGGCAGCGCCGGCGGCGCCGGCGGCGCCGAGACGGGCTCCTCAAAGTGTTCATGGATCGCGATTGACACAACGTGGCAGGGACGCAGCATCCCCGGACAAGACCAAGACAAAGCGCCCAAAAGCACGACAACCACATTCATGGCTGCTGAAAATGGCCCGTCCCAAGTCGCGCAAGGCAGCCAAAGAGGCAGCACAGCCGACCGTCCATACGGCACAGCCCAGGAGCCCCGACAAGAACTCAGGCACACGGGACAGGTTCGGGCCGAGACAAACAGAGACAGAGAGAGAGAGAGAGAGACAGAGAGAGACAGAGAGAGACAGAGAGAGACAGAGAGAGACAGAGAGAGACAGAGAGAGACAGAGAGAGACAGAGAGGCAAGGGCAGAGACTGAGACAAAGGCAGAGAGGGGGAGAGAGCGGCAAAGGCAGAGAGAGAGAGAGAGGGAGCCCCAAGTTGCAAACTCAGGCTCATGGGGTGAGTCGAAAGATGGGGTGACGGCTCCCAGGCAATCCTAGCACCTTAAACTTTCGCGATCAAAAATGGAGGCTGTTCGCCAATGAAGTAGCCCAACTGCAACGTGCCATAACCCAATTCCGCGGGGGGGCTCAATGGGTCAGGGGGAGCCCTAAACCCTGAACCTTAAACCCTAAACCCTAAACCCTAAACCCTAAGCATGTTCGCTTTGTGGCCTTCGGGGGCTGCGATGGCTCCACTTCCGCCACAGCAGCTGTGGGTCCCGTGGGTCCTGTCTTCGCCCCCTAAACCCTAAACCCTAAACCCTAAACCCTAAACCCTAAACCCTGAACCCTGAACCCTAAATTCCTCAGAAAGTTAGAGGCTCCTTCAATCCTCGAGGGTGGTGCCCCAAAGCTGGGGTAAGGCAACTCTACCTGCGAGGCCTCTAGCTGCGAGGACTCCACTTGCAAGGAACTCTTGCTTCACCCTCTTCGTTGCAAGAGGCTCCGATTCCAAACAGAGCTCGTGGCTCCAAAATCCTAAGCTGCAAGAAGCCCCGAGTTCCTCTACAGAGCCCCGGAACCCTCATGACTCTGTCCTGAGGGCATCTCGGCAGCACCGCCCGCGGGCTGCGGCCTTGATGTGAGATGCACATGTTTCACACTTCTGCTGCTTTAGGGGGGTGCGATGTTCAGATTCGTACGTCAGGGCTTTCGGGTTTTTGTTTACGCATCCTGCGGAGTCCAGGGTGCATGTTTGAACGTGCTCAGGGTTTCAAGGCTTGCTCACATGGAACGACCACAAAGCAGCCCTACAGTACGAAGACGACTTCTCCTTAACTTTGCAAGTACGCCCATCCTGACGATCATCATGGTGCGTGGCTCGACCCTTAAACTCATCTCAACTCCAAATTACCAGATGCCATTCCCACCGTTCCCCCACACACCCTACACTTGCCTCAGCTTTCTCACCCCTCCAATCCCTGTCCGACATTCCTGTGCCCCGGGCGCCGCTGGAGCAGACGTGGCGGCAGCCATGGCTGCAGCTGCCGCCGCGAAGGCGGAGGCGAACTTTGAGGCCTGGGAAGGGTTTAGGGTTTCGGGTTTCGGGTTTCGGGTTTAGGGTTTAGGGTTTAGGGTTTAGGCTTCACGGGGGTTTGCTCGGCTTTCTGGGCACCGAAAGGGGCTTCGAGTGATGCACTGACCCACTTTAAGCCTGGAGAAGTTGGCCTGTTCGGCCTTTGCTTAGGATTCAACTCTCCTGTCGTGTTTTTTCACAACGAGTCACACTGTCAGAGAGTTGTGCAACCTGTGGGGTGTCGAAGCACCGAGCACTTGCATGGAAGGGCTCCCTGGCTTGCAAAGCGGCCTCTGCAAAACCATCCCACAACACTTTGGCCCCTTAGAACCCCTTATGCCCAAAAGCTGAGTTTGCAAACTTTGCTCGTCCAAAAACCCTAAACCCTGAACCCTAAACCCCAAACCCTAAACCCTAAACCCTAAACCCTAAACCCTAAACCCCGGGCTCCTCACCTTGGCCTCCGCCTCTGCCGTCTCCTCTGCCGTGGGTGGCGGAGCCTGGCATCGGCTTTGCGACTTGAGCCCCGCCTGCCTCACCCCAAAGGGCGGTTTCCGCAATTAGGGTACCTGTTTTAGGGGTTTAGGGTTTAGGGTTTAGGGTTTAGGGTTTAGGGTTTAGCGTTTAGGGTTTAGGGTTTTGGGGGTCCTTGTTAGAAGGGGATCGCTGCTGTTTGGGGTCTAGTTTAGGGGTCCCCTATTTTCGTAACCCCCAAATCTTGCATGTTGCCCCTCCAAATCCCACGGATTTTCCACCCCTCCCCCACCCTTTCTCCGCAACGCCACAAAGCCTGAGCAGCTCAAGATGGGACGATTGGGCTTCACAAGAGTCTGTCAAATGTTCTGGCAGCTTTCAGGGCTTGAGGGCTTTTGTTGCATGCTTTAGCTGCCTCGTTGAAGCTGTGCGAGGCTTCTTACAACCCTAAAACATCTAGGCCACGAATTCAACCCTTGGCCTCCCTTTGCAATAGCAGTAGAGTGGCCTAGGGCTTTGCACTGTGCGATGGTGACCTCCTACAAGTAGCAGAGCGAGCGAATGCAGAGAGGCCGAAATGGAAAGTATCGAGACCTCGAACAAAGATGAACAAAGGTCCAAACCCCAACGCTGGAGAGTCGAAGGCTACCCGCGCAATTCGAGCTTAGGCGGCCTAGGTAGGTGTGTTGCAAACATGTAGATTTCCCGACCAAACGATGAACAAACAACAAAAAAAGATGCTGCCCAGAACCTGTCCTTAAGGCCTGGGCGTGTCGGAACCCAGAAGTCGAAGCCCTGCACCCGGACACCACTCTTGAAGTCGGCCTTGGCCGCTGCCACGGCGGCTTTCTTGGCCAGCTTCCTGCACCGAGGGTGTTTTTGGGTCGATGAGCAGCTGAATCCCGATTCTCCAGAGCTGCCATGCAGTGGATGATCCCGAGAGTTCCCGCGCCCCCATGATCAATGCATTCCCCACATCAGCCCGAAGATTCTCCCGGAAAGCTGCCTAAGTTCAGGGTGGCGATAGTCAAGACGATAGTCAAGACACCTGCCTTTAGCTTTCTCGAGGTGCCTTTTGGGTGTTCGGGGCTGGGCCCAAACCACCACATGTCCCAAACCATGCATCCCGCCACGGGTCCTACGAGATCTACACGCCTGAGAGCCACCTTTTTCAACCCATGCGACACGGCAGAGCCTCCTGATATTGGAGAAGGATTCGAAGCATGGTCACACAAGAACCGGTAAAGAGCCAGGATCCCCATGAGATGCTCCGATGGAACCCGTGGGCCCAGGTGTTGAGCTGAGACGCTTCTTCAAGCTCCGGAGCTGGCTCAGTGCGCTTGGGAGCTGGGCTCTATAGGCTTCTTATGGATCGGCCTCCAATGAGCAACAACTCCATCGTAAAGCTTAAGCCCCTGATGATTCCCGAAAAAATGAAGCTTCAGGTCGCTAGGTTCGAGGCTTTCTGTTCTTGACCAGCGGACCAAGCATCGGATCCGCTCTGAGCCGGAGATTGGGGATCCGGTTAACGGCCACTACGCGCTGGGAGCAGCGTCAGCGTAGCCGGACGCAGCGCCCTTCGACAGCTCCTCCTGTTCGGATCTGGCAAAGGGGAGGGAAGGCCCAGATGAAGCTTTGGGTGGGAGTTTTGGTTTCGAAGGGGCAAGCATCATTCCTCTGGCAGCTCCAAACCTCGCAACCTGCACCGCACCATGCTGTACTGAACCATGCCAAGCGGCAACGAGCTGGTAAACAATGGCACTTGTGACCTCGCCGATCGCCGCTTTGCTCTCCAGGTACTCCTGAACGAAGATCTGCGGACTGTCAACAAGCTCGTTGCAGCTGTTCATGAACACCCTCTTAGACCGTTGCATAAGCACCCTGACATTCCTACAACACTCAGAACACTGAAACGCCGACCCATCATGTTTCCTACAGCAAGGGTCCCATGTTTGCGCTGGGGGGGTTTAGGGCGGCTCAGGGCTGATGCAGGGGGAAGCCATGGATGCAACAGGCGAGTGTCACTGACGAGCTCGGAATGCGAAAGACCCCGAATTATTTCGGGTTTAGCACCCCTCTGAATGAAGGAGCGAGCATGGCTTCATCTAAGTCCATAATCGATGAAAACCCAAGCCACTCCACTCACTCGACTCGAGCCCAAGACTCCTGCAGTGCACCTTGGGGATGTGTGCTCAGCCCATTACCTGGGGTCGTGCTGGTCAAAGGGGGTTCGATGCCAGACTAGAAGTCTCAAGCAGAAGCTGCTCAGGGCTTTCGGACTCCACGAGGAGGAAGAGACAAAGTCGCGAGGGGGAGCGCCCCCAGCACCCAGAAATCCGGTGTCTGCAAAGCTGCATGCGTTGTCGCAGAAGCAGATCACAAAGTACGGAACTTGCAGCTCCTCTACAGGCTTTGGGAGTTACAGGGACTTTAGGGTTCAAGATGTCGAGCTTGCTTGGATACTTCTATCCGTGGAGCGCAACATGTGGTAAAGCCAGTGTCAACTGCTAAGACCGCCCCTGCACCGAGTCAATGCCACAAAGGCAGCCACCACATTCACAAAGGCAGCTGCAAGCACTTGCAAGCACTCCCATCTTGCGCCGCAGACTTTTTGCACGAGCAAGTTTACGGTGAGTCCACGCCAAGCCTTCTGAAGGCTGGACTCGGAAGCGCGAACGCTCCCTTGTTCATGACACTTCATGACACTCCGTGACGCACTCCGTGACACGCAGCCACAAGCGCGACCAACGTGCGAGGAAGACCACGAAACCATCCCCGAAAAGATCCCCGAAAAGCACACGGCATCCACGAAAGCACACAGGTTGCTCCAGGCACGGGTAGAGTTGGGCGGCACTTGGGTCGGCAGAAGATTGAAGAGTTCTCTAGCGAATGCGGTTGAATGAAAGCCCTGTCATTGGGAACCATAGCACTCAAGAGTAACAGCGACACAGAAAGGGAGCAGGCTGTCCTCACACAAGATCCACTCATTGCCACAAGTCATCCCAACGATGTCCCCAATGCCTTGCAGGATCGGGCCAGACCAGACACTCCAGACCCCCAGACCCCTTTGACAGGCGCAAACCTGCAGGCCCTGCAGTTTGGAGTCCGTGGAGTTGCAGTGACCATTGCATCTTTTGAGAGAATCCACATCCGAATCCTCAATCAGGATTTAGTATCCCCTACAAGGCAGCGGGCCTCGGTAAGAGCGGATCTCTGCTCGAGTCTCGAACCTTGGGCCGACGGTATTGACGTAGACCGTCTCCTGGAAGTGTGGAGAGAGCAACGCTGTTCATGTGCAATGCCATGAGCACGGCAAGGTTCAAGAGGCCGCTCTCCAAGGTGTAGGGGGTTTTTCTCAGTGGTTACAAACAGTAGTTCTTTCTTTTATAAAAACTGTCTTTATAAACAATTCACTGTTTTTATAAAAAAGAAGTTTTGGTTCCAGGGGGAACACTGGTGAGGCTGTGGGACCGGCTTGGGTCCAGAGCCTGGGGCATGTTCGGGAATGAGGGTTCACTGAGGGTTCACCTCGTGCAAACCAGACGCAAATCCGTTGAGGTTTTGGGTTCAGGGCTTCCTTTGTGGCTTTGTGCCTTGTGCCCCCTCAATGAGGCATGCAATGCAGGTAGGTGACTTGGAGAGCTCGGAGGGTTCTTGGGAACTCGGGCTTTGGAGTTTCCCACGTTGTGAAAGATTTGTGCGCAGTGTGTGAGGGCTCGCCTCAAAGCGGCAACCCCATCGATGTGCGCAGCGTATCGTGGTAACCATCCTCAAAACTGTCGTCGCTTGTGGATCCGCACATTCTTGTCACGTCTCGAAGTGGCGCCCACAGTATCCACAGTGGCAGACTTCGCGTCGATGCTGCTTCACTTCTGTTGTCTCTTGTTGTGCGGCATTGTGGAACTACCGATGGGCAGCTTCGTCAAGTCTGCGCTCACAGTGTATCTTGGTGTTGATGATGATTCTTTTGATGATGCTGCTGATGATGATGATGATGACGATGACGATGACGATGATGACGATCATGATGATGATGATGATGATGATGATGATGATAATGATCATGATTATGATGATGACGATGACTATGATGATGATGGTGATGATGATGATGACGGTGACGGTGACTGCGACGGTGACGATGATGATGATGATGATGATGATGATGATGATGATGATGATGATGATGATGATGATGACGATGACGATGACGATGATGATGATGATGATGATGATGATGATGACGATGACGATGACGATGATGATGATGATGATGATGAAGATGATGACGATGACGATGACGATGACGATGACGATGACGATGACGATGACGATGACGATGACGATGACGATGACGATGACGATGACGACGATTTTGATGATGACAATGATGCTACTGCTGCTGGATACCGCTCATGACCAGCCGGGCTGTCTAGTCTGTGAACGTTTGCGCGATGGCTGTCAGGGGTTCTGGGCTTCTCTTTGTTTATCGGAGTTGCTTGCTTTCGGGTTTCCAGCTTCGACAGGGGCTTTCAAGGCTTTGAGGTTTTGGGGCTTCCAGCTTTGCGCGGTTTCCAGGGCCAGGGCTTGTGGAGTGAAGGTCTGCTGAGGCGTGCTTAAGGTGGGGGAGTGTAGAGCTTAGATTTTGGTTGCCGTGGCGGAGGGCGGGTGCTGGCCTTCTGCGGAATCAGAGGCCAGCTAGAGGCTGTCTGGCCTTCAGGGATGTCAAAATGAAAGAAGATCGGCTCTGGGAGGAAGGTGTGTTAGGGAGCATGGGGGGCCAAGTCTTTTTGGGGCAAGGAACTTGAGTTTCCTGGGAGGAAATGGGCTCCCTGCACTGAGGGAACAAGGGAGAAAGTGCGTTGAAGTCTCAAGCAAATGCGACGGAAGTGCAAGACTTTGGGGAAATTCTTCATCTGCTTCAGAGAGCTCTGTGTGTTTTTTGTGGAAGAGTCATCAACAGGTCGAAAGAAGTCATCAACCCGAAACCCTTTATCCCATGTCCGCCTTTGCGGAGTCAACTTAGAAGCGGGATGCAGACCCAAACTGAATGTTCATCGAGCCCCCCATCCGGCCTTGCGCAAACTTCACCTTCTCCTGGGTTTCCATGGAGCAGTTCCCACTCAAAGGCACTCAAAATGCTCGGAGGCCGCCAGGTCGGAGTTGAGGCTTTGACAGTTCGAACCCTAAGGTCTCGCAACCCTGCACAGCAACGGGAGCTTAGACTGCAACTTTCGTGACCTTATCGATCCGGCTCGAAGTTCTATGTCAAGAAAGCCCGACATTGAAGGCTTCAGCAAGTTCTCCAAAAACGATGGTTGCACACTATTCGGGGCTTTGGGAAGATGGGGAGGAACGTGCGAGTCATAGAGTCCCAGAGTAGCATGAACGACCCTGACCCCTTGGGAGCCTCAAACCATGCCAACATCGTTAACCTGCCGCCCAAGCCGCGCGCACAGCTGCCAGCACCCCATGCAAGGCAGTCTGCACACGGGAGGACCAGGCAAGTCTAGCTTCGTCCTGCAAGGACGGGCAGGGACTGGGACCTGAGTCTGAGGGTGAGTGCCGGGAGGGTTATTTCACTTGGAGAGCTTGAAGGCTTCGGAAGAGGCATCAGGGTTAGAGTTTGATGAGGGTATAATGGGCATCATCGAACTCAGCATGGCAAACTCCAAGTCGGCTCGAGACTCGAGATTAGCCTCACAATGCTCATTCACTCGTTCGTCTCACACCTCATCGGTAGTGCCGTCATGATCACATCTTCACGATACTCCCCATCCTACTGCTCATCATCATCGTCGCCGTCGTTATGATCATCATCAGCAGCAGAGCGTCAGCAGCATTGTCACCGGGAGTGTTCTGGGAGCTGCACGCGATTGCAAACTCAGCAACAACATCCAAAGTATCCCAAAGCCTGACGGCTGTATCAAAACTCCAGCCACAATCAATACATTCGTCCGCCCTGCGAGCCCTCTTCCGACCGGCCCACGAGACGGACCACCAGCACCACCAAGTTTACAAGCTGATACACGCCCTAAACCCTAAACCCTAAACCCTAAACCCTAAACCCTAAAAGCAAGCTCAAGAAGCAATGAGCCCATCCTGCGGGTTCGCCGGTGAGTAGTGCATTCGTCCAACGCCACCTGCCGGGATCTCGAAGGATCCGATCCTCGACAGCGGGCACAAGGACCCAAAATAATCATAAGCATAATAATCACAATAGTAAAAACAATAATAATCATAACCATAATCACAATAATAGTAATAAGAATATACAAAAGCCCTGCCGCATCGCTTGCTTCGCTTGAAGCCGGGAGGATGTGAGCGGCTGCAGCTCCAGAAAAGTAGAAAAGTAGAACACTAAACAGCCATGCTCATGTTCTCCTAGCTTCTACAGGTGCGGTACACACTCTGGAGCCGTGGGGTTGAGGATGCTCCCTACGGCAGATGGAGAGCACGCAGACTCCAGAACCGCAACTTGGCTTTAGAACGTGTGCTTGTTGTCTCCTGTATTTTGGCAATCCAAGAGTCTTCTCGTGGCCCCAAAAGGTCACCGGCTGTGGGTTGACCATGTAATAGTCGTTCGCCGCGACTACGGAACCAACAGGGATCGTCTCCTAATGCTTCACAAAGCTTTGCTTGTTGGACTCAGGGCTTGGGGTTTCGGGTTAAGGGCCAGGCTAGGCTTCTCAGTAGAAGCACACTCACACACACAAGTCCTTGTGATACATGTAAGGGCTGTTTCGTGGGTAGAGACAGGCCATGACAGGGCTACATCGGATAAACACGCGGGCCCTTGCTCAGCCCATGGCCAGCTGCAAATCGTCCAATGCGCTTGCTGACACAACTCGATTCTTACCAATACAGCAGTGCCCAAACGCTCTAAGGCTCAGCAGTTCCGGTGGAACATGTTAGAACCGATACACCCGGAACTAAACCTTTGATGCCATCCTCTGAATACCTTGAAAGGCGAAGCAGCCTGGGTCAAGAAATTGTGCGGAACCCGAGATCCAACACACGCGTCGTTGCGGCAACAGCACTTGAAAACACCGACTTCTTAGCCGATCTTGCACCCTGAACTTCAATCGCCCCACTTCCTGAACTCCCGGCATGAGCTTAGCAGCAAGCAACTGTGCTAAACACATCCGGGTCAGTCAGATGCAGGGCTTCAAGGTGTCCAGCCGCGGAATACTCGGATCCGAGAAGCAGGATGAAGGGTACCCGTACTGGACAGCGCCACAACGCCAGTGCACTCGGAATTCCTGTGTGGGACCCTAAAGAACGCTATTTAAGGCAAGAGAAATTGCTTGGACCTGGGGCTTAAGACCCCAAAAACCCTGCGACCTCAACTTTTCGAGACTCACCCGAGTTAACTTTTTAGGGTTTTAGGGTTTTAGGGCTTTAGGGTTGTAGGGTTTTAGGGTTTTAGGGTTTTAGGGTTTTCGGGTTTTCGGGTTTTAGGGTTTTAGGGTTTTTAACATCCTGACAAAGGCACACAACCAGGGCCCAGATCAACGCCTTGAAGTTCACCTCGTGGGGGGGTGCATAGTCGGCCTCAGCTTCTGAGGTCCACACAACAACGGTGTCATGATTGCGTGTGGCAGGGGGTGCTCCTCAAGAGTGGCAGCTTGTGTTGCTTGCCAGCACCGCAGCAATTTGTGCAACCAAGAAATTGCTTTGGGGTTTGAGGGGTTAGGCAGGGAACGGAAAGTAAGGCGATGTTCTGGGAAACCAACACGTGGATGGTGCAGCCAGGGAACTTTTCCCTGTTCGTTGACCTTTGTGCAAAAGTGCCTCGCATGCGGCTTGATCTGAGGATATGGGCTTCGGGTGAATCTAAAGAGGAAGTTGCAAACACCTTGAGCCTTCGTGCTAGATACACAGCATGTCCACCACAGGCACTCTCCGCACCAGACCCGTTTGCCCCAATCAATCAGCAGGCGGCGTTCAAGCTTCCTTGCACACCACAAGATTTCTGTTTCATTTTTGGCAGGATCGGAAGCCCCCATGCCATCCTCTCGACGAATCTTCATGCTCCTACCTTGGCATGGTTGGCATTCTCATCATTCCCGGAGCCGTGGTCAGCGAGTGGTGCGATATGGTCGCACGCCCTATGAAGGTGGTGTGAGGAACTCTCCCCAACATCTTTGCATTCCGATGCATGACACAAGCCAAAACACTCAGTACGATTGGGATGCTGATCTTCATTATACATGACCAAGCGATCCACAGCAAGGACTTGCGCGATGCGACGTGTCAAATCCCACTGCAAAACGTGGCCGGCTTGCACCGCTTGCCAGCTCTCGCCAGCATCAAAGCTCTGCTTCCTACTCTCCTCGACCAGGTGGCGAACCAGACGAGGCTGCTTTCATTCAGCCTGCAATCTGGGGCGAATTCCTATGCGAGTTCGTGACCACGCGGGACAGCGCCCGATCCTGCACTGGGCGCATGGCAAGTTGGCGAATTATGGTGCAACATTTCCGACCGCTCGTCCGTGTCGATCTCTGCGCAACTGCACAACTGCGCAAGACTAGAGCTCGTCATAGCTTCGGGATCGCGAGACCTAAACATCGGCGCCTGACGGTTCCCAAGCAACCCGAAACATCAACGAAGCACGAAGCTGCTGAACCGCGCAACCCGAGACATCCCAACTCTCCGAGCCGCCGATTCGCAAAAACGACCCGCCGCTGGGAGTCCAGGGCCGCCAGGATGCACTTGCCCCAAGGGGTCTCCACCGTCCAAGAGTCCTAGCAAGACTTCATATACATCTATATTTCTAATACATAAAAAAAGAAAAAACACGTATATATATATATATATATATATATATATGTATAGAACAAGGGGAGTTCAGATTTTTCTAGAGAGTCCGAGTTCAAGGCGCAAGTTCCAGACTGTGCCATTTGAGCTCTGAAGGGCCTCGCCTCAAGCTTCTTGGGCCGCGATCAGGTCTGGGACACGCTGGGATGTCGGAAACTATCACTGTAAGTCACTGTACGTCACTGTAGGTCACTGTAGGTCTTGAGGGTTCCGAGGGTCGCTGCACTGTCCTGCGTTGGGCACTTCAGGAACGAGGAGCTAGATGCTCTGCACGGGTTAGAGCCAGCTCACCCCCGGTGCACCAAGACAAACGCCGGGCATACCGGCAGGGTATATATGGGTACATATAGTCTTCGGGTAAGCAAGATGGTGCGTATCAGGAGCCTCTCCTCGCCCTTGACCTGCACGCCGCTGCCACCGATGAGGCCGAAGCGTGGCATGGGGCCCAGGGAGGCCATGGCAGCTCAGGGCCAAGCTCAAAATTAACCCTAAACCCTAAACCCTAAACCCTAAACTCCCCCAACTTGCCCCAAGCTGGCCCACAGTCTTGCACAGGGGAAGAGGACCGGTAGATGTGTCGATAAAGTGCCTTCTTGTCCATGTCAACCGAGAATGGGGTTCCATCTGAGTAGAAAGCAGCTGGCACGTGTGATCGAAGACATCAGGTATGCAAACCTGCTCTGCACCTTCAACCTGCTCTGCACCTTCATGGCTCGAAGCGATGCTTTTTTCAAAAAATGAAGGCTCATGGAGCAGATGCTACATCGATTGCCGCTAACTCTGCTGTTTACGGAACCCCAGACCCGACAAGGGGGTCGGTCACCCAAGCGCATTGGTTAAGGGCCAGGGGAAGTGGCTCAAGGTTCGAGTTGCTCGTGTTCCAGAGTGCTTCCACATGGCTGACCAACAAAGCACCCTAAACCCTAAACCCTAAACCCTAAACCCTAACCCTAACCCTAAACCCTAAACCCTAAACCCTCAACCCCCCAAGTGATTGACAACCCGAACCCGAAACTTGGCGCCGCCTGGGTGCATCCTTGCTCCGCGACCGCGATGGCTGACGCGGCCGCTTGGGGCCCTAGGCAACGCTAACGTCTGTGTGGCTAGTTGGCTCAGGTCCATCATGTGGCTCGCTCCTGGGGCCTTCATAGACGTTGCGGCATCAAGACATGCTTTTGTGATCATTGCACAAACGCTATCGTGGCGCTGTTGATTGCACCGGCTTTTTGGGTTTTTGACCATGACATGGGACCGTACTGCCAAGGCCGTGATGAAGTCAGGTGCAACACAAAAACAAAAAAAAAACTCCGTTTTCACATAGCCTTTAAGACTTTAGGATGTCGGGTGAGCTGCAAACACAGATCGCCCTCATGCCCACAAAACGAAGCGCATTCAAAAACAGACTTGCACAGCCCGAGGATGGTGCGCAAGCCAAAGGCAAGTTCTAATGGTGGGTGGTGGGTTCATGGCCATCACGTCGAAAAAAATGTTTTAAAAAAGCTCTGCAGACGGCACTCCTGAAAATGATGCGTAGTCTCGTCTAGGTCCCGAAGATGCATGGTGTCTCAAACAGATGCGCCTTTCCATGCGCAACTGCTCCCCTGAAATACTGTGCTGAAGCAGGGGACTTTACAGGCGCCATTACCTCATCTAACCGTTAACCGTTCACCCCGTATTCATTGAAGGGCCTTCAGGGTTCAGGTCTGCTGTCCTCGGGATCTTCGGCATTGAACGGGTCGAAGTCCCACACATGCACCTGGTTGGAAATCTCATTGGGTTTAGGGCTTTGAAGACTCCAGGAGTTGCCACCAACTTGAACTTCTCACATTTTTGCTTTTGCCCAGAAGCCTACTTTAAGTACGTCGACACTGGGAAAAACAGACAAACTAGCTTCGGGTGGTCAGTGGGCCACTTCTTTTTCCGGCTGCTTTGCGGTTGCATTCTCCGCGCTTGAAGCAGCGTGGGAATTAACAACACATACGCCGCCTAGTTGATGATCGACATTACGCATGACCACCCTCAACCCAGGCGGTCACATGTCGACTCCTTGGCACCCCTCAACTGAACCTTAATCTTGCTGGCATGAGGCCCTTCGCAGGGCATGTTTGACTTGTGCAATCCCGGAATGTCTTGCAAGCTGCAGCAACCCAAGACCCCAAACTCCAGCACTCCAGACCACACCCTGACACTCGAAACCCGAACCCTATAAAGCACAGAACATCAACTCCTCTAAAACGCAGAAAGGCCCTTGAAGGAAACGAGTACACATATTGGAGGTTGGCATCAGGCAGAACCCACCGCTGAAAAATCGCGAGAAAACCCATAACTTCACAGTGAATGGAAACACCAAGAACCGGAAGGAGCGAGGGAGGGAGAGGGAGAGACCCTTGAAAGGACATGAAAGGACAACCCAAAACCCCCAGACATCGCAAGCCTTCCACTCCTCGCTAGCGCCGTTTCTGAGACGCAGAAGGAGGTGGCTCACCTGGAGAAATTCTTTTGCGGGGCTGTGAAAGAAGCGCGCTTTTTCGAAAAGCGCTTTGGCCCGCAGAGGATGCCTCCCAGCTGCTCACTCAATTGAGCCCCCGTGCTCCGAGCCAAAGACAAGAGGGCCCCTGGATGCTAAAGGTTCAAGGAGGTTCAAAGAGACCTTCCCCCTCAGACTGCGACTGAACTCTTCCAACGCTGAACCCTCAACTCTGAAGCCCTTCCCAAATCGTCGTGCTCCACCTTGCCGGCGGTTCGACGGATGATGGCGCCTGGCCTTTGCCAAACAGGAGGGGGTGAGATTGGAGTCGCTGTGGGGTCCAGGTGGTCAGATGTGGTCACGGTAAGTCTCTTTGGGAGTGTTGGGGCAGCAGCATGGAACCCCCAAAGCCTCGAAACCCTCACAGGACGAGGTCGAGCCTTTTTTTCTGTACCCGTGGGCCTTGATGGGTGGTTCCTGGACTCTAAGCAGAACCGTCTGAACATTGGGCCACAATTTTTAGGCGTTAAGCCTCCGACCTGAACCCTGAATCCCCAAAACTCGGAACCCCTACAGTAATGCCCTACGCCTTCGAGCCAGACCCGTGAAACTTCAAAAACAAAAAAGTCGTTCCTCCACAAGTTTGCAGCTTTAGGGTTCGCAGCCTCTCCGCACAGGAGTATAGCAGGCTGCCAGTCCGTGCAGAATCCCTGCCAAATGACATGGGGCTTGAGGGCCCGTGGCTTCTTGAGTCTTGAGGTCTGTTGAGGTCCGAAGCGGCATGAAGTCTGCAGGTTGCTGGTGTTCGAACGGTGTCGAAGGCTCGCAAAATGGGCCTGGGCCTGGGACTCAGCTTCTTAGTACGAGCATCCCTCCGTGAAAACCGTAAACTTAACTTCTAAACAGTCTAAACACCGCAAACTGTCAAAATACCAACCATAAAGTCCCTCAACCATTAAAACAAAGGGTTACTTGGGGGGGGCGGGGGGGGGGTAGGGAGTGATCCTAAAAAACCCAGAACGGCAAAGCCCTCAGGGCGGGTGTGCACGTAAACTGCCCTGCCCTCGACAATCCCCGCCTAGTCCCGGACACATCTGAAATTTCGCAGTGTCAAAGCAGAAGGGGTTAAAGAAGGCTAGGGCTTCGGGCCTCGGGATTCAAGTTCGGGGCTCTTGCCAGACCTTAGAAGGCTTTAGAAGACCCCAGGGAGCTGAAGGAAAGCATCCGAGCCCTGATACTCAGCCTTAAGCCTGAAAACCTGCACCTGACGCTGACTCCAACCCTGGAATGTGGAAGCTTGCGGAACTCTGTGTCTAAAGGCGCCAAAGCATCCAAACGTCGCAACGGACGCGGAGCTCTCCGGGTGCCTCCGGGTCACGGCGGCTTGAACCCTGCTGTGACACAGCAGCCCTTCATGTGGGATTGGCGCGCTTCGGCGGGTGCACACACCCAAAGCATTCCTCGAACCTTTGGAAAAAGCTTCTGTAGCCGGCACCGCAAGCGCTAAGAAGAGCAAAGAGTATCAACGACGATGTCGAATAACTACAGCTCAGTGTGTGTTTTTCAGGCATTTCTGAAGTAGTTGTGGGGGGGAGCGAAAACAGCATTCCATACTGTAAACGACACTACAACACTCACTTTCTGCAAGTAGACCCCTCAGTTTCATCCCCCCTACAAAAAGTACTATGCATTCCCACACAAAAGGCATGTCTTCAACTCTTCAACATGGAACTTTGTACTTGTACGTATCCCGTGCCACGCCGCAATACGAACCTTTGAAACTTAGGGATCCACACACACACACAACATGAGAGGGTGATCATAAGGAGGGACCCTCCGAGGAATAGGCTCAGTTCATCTTGGTACTTGGAGGTTCCTGGTACTTACTAACCCAATAAGAATTGTACTTATAACCCAACTATAACCCTTGTTTGGGCACTTTAGGGGGCTCATAAGTGGGTTATAAGTACAGCTATCATGGCTAATGAGTGCCACGAACCTCCAAGTACAGCCCCGAACCTTAGGCGACACAAAGGTGACGCATGGTGACACGCAAGGAGCCCATGGACACCCCAAACCCTAAACCCTAAACCCTAAACCCTAAACCCTAAACCCTAAACCCTAAACCCTAAACCCTAAACCCTAAACCCTGTGTGGAGGCCTCCACCTCGCCCTCCACCGCCTCGTAGCGGCTACGGAGCTCGGCCTCCATGGCTTTGCGGCCCAAACCGCTTTGAGCTTCGGATCGGCCCAGTTTAGGGTTTAGGGTTTAGGGTTTAGGGTTTAGGGTTTAGGGTTTAGGGTTTAGGGTTTAGGGTTTAGGGTTTAGGGTTTAGGGTTTAGGGTTTAGGGTTTAGGGTTTAGGGTTTAGGGCAAAGCCCCGCTTTTGGCCACCTCGGCAGAGTCGCCGCGCAGCATCAAGAGGCGCTCTAAGGACGCGCAGCAGCTGGAGACCTTAGGGCTTCGAGGCTTTCGGGCCTTTGAGGCTTTGAGGCTTAAGGAGGCTTTGAGGCTACCGCTGGTAGCGCAGTGGTTACCCATGTTGCGGATTTCTCGGTAGCTGCTGTTTTGACTGGTGATCTAGGTGGGGCTTAGGTTTCTGCGGAATGGTCTTGTCTCATGACAAAGGTTGAAAAATTGGGGAGTGTGAGTCTGGGAAGACACTTGGAGCACAAACGATGCATTACAGAGAGCACTCGCTAGCCCAAAGGCCTCTCTACGGTGACGTACTTTCGCGAGAAGGCACAGTCATTTGGAGTCCACGGCTCCGCCTGCGGCTTTGGGTTGATTTCAGGTGGCTTTGGGTTTGACCTGCTTCGGGCTTCGGCACCTTTGCCCCAGAGTCCACCAAGCACCGCAACTCGGAAACCCCTGAACCTCAAGCCAAACGCAGAACCACAAAAACCTGGAACATCCCAACCCATACTAAGACTCTTGTCTCTCCACAGGGCCCTCACGGGCCCGTCCGTGGCTCCAAGGACGCGCCCAAAC